AAGAACTGGGAAAGAGAGATGAATATAAAAGAAATGAAGAAAAGCATATTGAAGATGAGTGTCAAACAACAAGATGATCATGAGTTATATGTGGATGAGAGAGAATCTGAAATGTTGAGTTGGTAAAGAAGATGAAGATACAGAGATTCGTTTAATCAGTACCGAAAATTTCAAAAATTCACTTGAAAACGAATTATTGGAGAGACACAGTTTGCACGAAGAAGGAGAAAATAGATAGAGATAGATAAGAAAATATAACAAAAAATGCAGTGAGTAAGATGTTGGTAGATGAAGATAAAGAATTCAAGAGAGTCTGAGGCGACGAAATAGAAGGAAAAGCTGATCTTCTAAGGTTTTTTTTCTGTGCAATCCATTCGGCAACGAACATGCTATGGTAAGGTCTAGCCCAACAACAAGTCCGGATCGTAGCTGTCGATGGAACAAAAAAAGTTTTGTAAAAAAAGTCTGAAATGAACAAGAATCAGATCCGATTCACATCAGTCCGTAAGCCGAGTATATAAAGTTCCTTCAGGCCCATGGCAAGGACTTCAAGGCTCCATCATCATAGACGATGGATTGTTCGTCGAAGTATAAGGTAAGAGTGATTTCGAAAATATATTTTATACCTTTCTCTGAAGGCTTATCAATTTGTGGGCTATGCATCTGTTTTATTCACTGGATTAGCTGTTTTATCTTTGAGTGTTACTTTACCTCTTGTACATCGGTATGTAACCGGAGTTCGTCATCAAATGAGAAGTGATATGATCACTTGCCAGGTATTTTCTCACTTTCGTGAGTATCACCATTATAAGTATCTAGGCTGAGGCAAAAACTTTGTTTGGAGATATTTCAATCATGAGATCAACACCTGTTCATCTTAACTCTACTCGTGTAACTCGTAATGCTTATGATTCTGTCCCAGAGACTGCTCCACCATCATCACCTGGATATGGAGCTTTTGTGGAGGTTTTGCTATTTATAAGTATTCAAACCATAACGTGTGTATAGGCTAACAATGGACTTCTTTATGGAGGCTCTTGTGAAAACTGCTGTTTACCAGGACCTAAAGGTAGCAGAGGAGAAGCTGGAGAACCTGGTAGACCAGGAAAAGCTGGAGCCAATGGGTTACCAGGAAACCCAGGACAAGCTCCACCTAAGCCATGCAAGCCAATTACTCCACCACCTTGCCAGCCATGTCCACAAGGACCTCCAGGACCTCCTGGACCACCAGGACCAACAGGAAGTTGCGGAAATGTTGGTCCTGACGGTAATAAGGGACCAAACGGAGCACCAGGAGAGCCAGGTCTCAAGGGTCGCCCAGGAACCCCAGGAAAATCAGGACCACAAGGACCACCAGGACCAAGTGGGCAACCAGGAGAGAACTCTGAACCAAAACCAGGACCACCAGGAGAGAAGGGAGTACCAGGACCAGAAGTAAAAATAATTAATTGTTTAGTGTATTATTAATGTAATTGGTTTTAGGGACCACGTGGACCACCAGGAAAGCCAGGACCAGACGGTATTCCAGGAGCCGCTGGAGATAAGGGACAACCAGGAGAGCCAGGATCAGGCGGAGAAGAAGGAACACCAGGACATCCTGGTAGACCAGGAAAAGACGGCCAGCCAGGAGAAAAGGGTATCTGTCCTAAGTATTGCGCCAACGACGGAGGAGTTTTCTTCGAAGACGGAACAAGACGTTAAATTATTTCTGAATAACTGATGTCATAAGCTTCGTCAAGCTTGTTCAGTTATGCTTTCCGTTGACAGAAAAGCAATTTCTATTTAAAGTTCGAGTATTTTGTATATAACTAAGTGCAAATGAAAGTAAAAAATAAAATAATTCTATTTCATTTAACGCTATCATCGTATGTCAAGATTTCATCTGCTGGCTGAACCCGAAAATCGGGATTTTCCCCAATCAGGTGTCAGTCATAGATGCGCCTACAAACATGAGATTTTTCTAGAACGAGTTTTGATTGTCTCTTGCAGCTTATATGACGATTTGTGATCTAATACATAACTTCTTCGTTTCATTCGAAAATTTTTCGTTTCAACTTCTCGAATGTAGAACTAAGCTTCATACTGAATATGGATTCATCTTTGATGCACGACCAACAAGTAGAAAAATAGAAATCAAAGGCACATCCCAACAAACCACACAAATGAAATCCAAAAGATCAAAGAGAAATTGCATCATTATGAATTGTATAAGTTGAAGCTGAATAGTACACTGCAAGCTTTTCAACAGATGACGGCATCCAAAGCTTAGTATTATTACCTTTCTATCCAGTTTATTCTTATTTCAGATTGAAAAGTATTTTTTATTAATAATGGTGATTTATGAACAATGGCAAGCTTTCAAGACAAATCATATTTACAACAAAGAAATATCATGAACATAACGACTAAGTACAATACAGTTTGTGTTGACCATGTGAAGCAGTCAGATGTAAGAATTGGAAATGGAGGTATGGAAAAGAAAAAAAAACATAAAACGTTTGGCAATATTAGACCGGTATTGTGATTGTTCTTTAATAAAATTTTGTATAAAAATCGTTTCTTTGTCTGAAGTATTTTGCTCAAACAATGAGCAAACTGAGGAAATGAAACAGAAAGAAGTGAATACAGAACAACGTTATGTATATCTTTCATAATAATCCTAACATTCGAAAGATTTGTTTAAAACTCAGCTTTTCGTCGAACAACTATTTTATATCTGGATTAACTTTTTTTTTAGAAATTTTCTTCTGCGAAATGTCGTCTTTGAACAAGAGATTCGAACCGTGAACATTTGAGGTTTGTTATACATAGATCAGATCATCTTTTGCTTAATTCGTTTTCCATTTTGCTAAATCGATGGTCGGAAGAGCTTTACATGGTGTTAACTGGCTTCCAGGTAATAAGAAAGCATCCTGAAAATGTTAACATAGTAGCAGTTGGTCACTTCATTCAAACCTCTGGTAGAAGTTCAATATGATCAGCATTCTCACAAATTATTTTGGATAAGCTTGATTTGTTGATTTCAGCCAGCTGTTCCTTTGAGAAAACACCTTCATGTTCATAGAAGAATCTGTGAATTTATAATTTTAAATTCAATTTTCATTCATGAGGAAGTACCTATCACCATCACGCAGCCTCTTGAATTGTTCTCCGATAACGCAGCTCAAAGTTGTACCAACTAAGCCCCCAACTACTGGGTCTTCCAGCATTGAGCCAACATAGAAATCGACATCATCTTCAAATATATCACATTCACAATATTTCACATGAGTTTCCCTTATAAACCTGTAGTATTATATGTTCTACTGAGGCCGATGCGAAGATTTCTGTCCAAAATCATATCCTTAAATCCTTCGAAATCACCAGCCCGTGGTAATCCGCAGAATGTTCTCATAGTATTGTAAGAAGGAATTCCGTGATCACGACCACGTTGAATGTTTAAAGATCCTAAATCAGTGCTGAAAACATTTTTTTATTCTCCTTACTGCTGCACAATCAAACGTACGTTCCGAACATTTTTTCAGTGATAGCTGGCGTCATTCTATGTGGGCGTTTGACGGCAGAGCTCATGAATCCTCGTAAAATGGGATCTATTCCTCCCTCAAAAAGAATCTTTCCGGATTTGAAAACTCCATCGCCAAAGAAAAATCCTCCATGAGTGATATTTCCGCCGGAGAAGTCAAGACGCTTGTAAAACTCCTATAAATGGAGCAATTGTTTAAGAGTGAAGGAACAAATAGTTATACTTCAATCATTCCATGTCCGAATCGGAAAGCAGATGTGGTGAATTCGTTTGATATTGTTGCGTCAACATTATCCTTGTATCCTTCATACTTTCCCATCACCTTATCCATAGAAACTCCAAGAAGTTTTGGTAAATACTCCTGTTATACATATATCAAAGAATCTCGAGAAAAGCTGAATTTACTGTGTAAAGAATGTGTTGGATCTGTCCGCCAACTATTTTTCTGGCTTCTTGGAAAATACGATCTCCACTCCAAGCGGAGTTGAGGTCTTGCAAACGACGAGCGATTCTGAAAGCCAGTTGAATGGGGAAAAACCATATGAAATACCTGTTATGTTCACGAGCAAAAAGAATGTGGAAGGAACTCAATCCTATGAACAGATTTGCCCGAATATCTCCAGCAGTGAATGATGCTGTACATTTGTCTTTGTTAGCACACTTGGACTGATCGAAAGGTAGAACAAGCTGAAAAATTAGGTAAAAATGATTATAGTCAAGGATAATGTAATGCAACCGCTCATCACTCCATTCAAACTATAAAGTGGAGAGTTTTTCAAATTTTTCAAGTATGAGGCTATGTGATTCCAGTTTTCATTACTTAATACTAACCTGGTCATTGAATCTGCTCATTTTCAAAAGTCCTGTGCGTCCTTCACGGAATTTGTGAAGATCCTTTGGAGATGATCCATAGATCATTGAACCATCGATATAAGCTGTATTTTCATTGAGTTGTTCACGTGGAGTGACTTGACAAATTGGAGCTGAGCGAGATACTTTCAAACACTGCTTCTGTTTGAATCTGAAATTATATCGTTTTTCTGATTTTTTCTAAGTATGGCTCTTACGAAGAGTTTGGGTCTTTAGCAGTAATCATGATTGGCATACATTTCGATTTGATAGGATCGCAAGTTTTACATTGAGCGGATGGTTGAAGTGTCGTTTTAGCCATATCATGAGACATGAACTGTCCCCATTGCATCATCAAATTGTTGAACTCAAACACAGAACATTAGAAACAAAACCTTTGTACAAAAAAACCTTATCATGAACGACAGATTGAGCTGAAGAAAGCATAACTCGGTTAGATTCTCTAGCAGTTGGCCGAGAGTTTGTGATAGAAGCTGCAAGAGATTAACCATTATTGTTCTCAACACTTTATATTTACCTATTGGTTCTCCAACCTTATCATCATATTGTGAAGGGAAGTGTCTGAATATAACTAATATGATCTATCTTGTTAATCATATGATCTACCTTATATATTTGCGGAAAGCAGCACCTTGCATTGGCTTCTTCAAGTTATTACAAGTTCCGTCAAGAGTTCGATAAACTAGATGGTAACAAAGGTTTTTAGAGCAATCGACACCACGATCTTGCAACTGGAATAAGCATAAGTTTCGTTTTTTTTTCGAAGTTTCTAGGAACCTGCGGAACACATCCTGTTGCAACACTTTTTGTTACTTCATCTATGGATAACATCGTTCTTCCAAAGTTATCTTCCACGCTGTTGATCAAACCGGATAAAGCCATAAGCTGAAAACCGAAACTCAACATTTCTATAGAAAGTTCGGCTTTATACCTCAGAGGCTCGGCTTGATTTTGATACTACATCTTCACAACGGGTGACAGGAGTCAAATCATCAGGAACTACTCTAGGAACTGCAGCATCTTTAGCTGCGTCGCTCGGTGAACGAGTCGTAGAAACTGGAGCTGAAAACTCTTTTGTAAAAGAAAAGTTTCGAGAAGATTAAAGAGGTGCGAAGGGTGAGTTAGAAGAGATTAGTGTGTTGTTGTTTTTTTATTTTGAATTCCCTCAGTTTTATCGCATTTCCTTTTTTTTCTTTCATTTTTGTTATGTATAAGATAGTATAGCTAAGTAAACTCTCCATTCAGTCCTTATTAGGCGGATGTCCAGTTTTCAGATGACAGAGAACATAAGAATATACTGAGCTGAATACATGAAAAACGCATTTATTTACATTAGTTTCTGGATGTAGAGAGAGATAGAGAGGAACAAAGGCAGATTCATTCTGTTCTTTGTTTATGTTAACGAATTTTGTGATAAAATCCGAAATCAGAAGTATATCTCTGCTCATACTACAATGCCGTTTAGTCTCGAGAGTTGAAGAAACTGTGATACGTCAATGCCAAGCGTGTAAATGTTGCTTTGATCAGTTCGATTACTTCCTTGTGAAAAACAGGAAGTGAACGATTTGTTTCAATTCTGTTTGTCCCAAAATCTTTGAGAATTCAACTTTTTCTGGTCATTTTTCTGCCATTTAATTGGTGTGAACGAAATTAAATGGCTATATAACCTGTTGATTCTAGCAGAACCTAAGATTTTCCTTCAAAATGTCTGATGATAGACAGCAAAAAGAAGAAGGAAAAATAAAAACTAAGAGGAATTGGACAAAATCTCCTTTCTACCAATCGAGATGGTCATACATATTAAGATTCTCATCAAGTGAATGCCGTGTAATGAAATTTATTTGGTAAAATCAAGGTTGTCCATGTTACACCCTTAATGAAATCTGAATTCCTTTTGGCAGGTTGACCTCGAGACTCTTACTAGCCGATAACCACGCAAACCCCGCTTACAAGAATCTCTCTCTCTCTCTCTCTCTCTCTCTCTCTGTCTCTCTCTCTCTCTCTCTTTCTTTCCTTATTTTCCAGAAGAAGGAAACAAAAACAATTTATTTGTAATTTTTTGAGCGATAATTGAAACATTTAACAACTAATGCTTTCAAACAAAAGACTCATTAAGCTTAACTTCTACTTCCCTACCAACAACAGTTCCCAGCAGCTTTTCATCATTGGAACTTCAACGATCGTGCGTTTCTCAATCCAAATATCCAAACTCTCTCGGGAAAGAGACGAATAACAACAAATATTAGATGATATTTCAGTTCATTCAATTCAGCTTGAAACATATCTATTGTTGAACAAAAAAAAATGTTATTCGGTGAAAACATGTTCTCAGGCTTGACATTCTCCTCTTGGCTTGTAATGGTCATCCCCAAACAATTCAATTTCGAAATAAAACGAGAGAAGATGTTCAAATCCTTTCAGCAAGCTTCGAAAAGATCCAGAAGTAATATCATAAAGTGCTCGTTATATTCGTATATCATTCCTCTTTTCTTTACCTTATTTTACCTCATAACAGGTTTTTTTCTCTGCCCTCTCCTACATGTCCTCATTCTCGCTCGCACTATCTCCCTTTCCTTCTGCGGTAAGTCATCGTCCTCACATTCTTCAATTTTTCTATCCACAACTGTTCTCATCGGCTTTTTGTACTGAAGTAATCATCCATGCAGTCGTTCTATTCTCTTTATTCCTCTTCCTCAAAGCTGGTTCAATAATGCGATAGCCTTTTATCTTTGAACATACAGCCTTAACGTCCCCTCAGGACATTCTCTAAATTACAAGGACATCATACCAGGAACTTCGAAAGAAAAAATGGTTTCAAATCTTCTCATCGAATTCAAATGTCTCCGATGATTATGAACGGAGATAAAACTTGACAGAGCTTGTTTTGTTCTTGATAAACGAGCACACACGACCTTACTTACTGTCTGATTCTGTTTGCAGAACCTTTTAAGAAAAAATTTTTGCAAGTCGAGGTTTTTTCTTGGATAAATTTTTGGTAAGAGAATACTTAGAGAAATAGGAAAAAACTTCTTTAAAATCTCGAACAAAATATTTTCAAGGTCACCTAATTCAGTTTCTCAGAAGCCTAATTATCTTTAAAATAATGTTAAGAAAACAGTAGCAAACAGAAAGTCCCAAAAACAAATCTTCCCTCTGGGCATTTTTATGAATCATTTCCTTTCAATTTTTGATTGGCTGTGTCCCTTCCTCTTCCTCTCACTAAACACATACACTTCAAACTGGGCATATGAAGTGAAAAAGCGGAACGAGGTTTGGCATTTCTCCAAACAATCTCATTCATTTTCATTCATGGTTATGTTACACCTGACTTGGACCAAACTTAAACTCTCATTTTCAATTTGTTTTTGAATGGTATCGAGAATAGTCAGGATGACAGTCAGCGCATACTTTATGCTTTCAACCTTTTTTCTCACATAAAACATTGTTAAAGGTCAGATATAATAACTTAGAACATTAAATAATTATTAATGAAATATCTTAAGAAAAGAATTTTAAGAAAACAAGGTGCTCAAACTGAAAAATGTGAAAAGCAACTGAAGAAGAAGCTAAGTGCAAGGAAATACACATTTAAATACGACGACGCACCTGCTGTAGCTGGAGGTGCAGTACAGGAACCGCATGCAAGCTGACAGTTGGTACTCATCCAATCTTCATTTGCCTAAAGTTTTCCATAAAATAAAAACATATTCCATGCATAATGCTAATCTGACTATCCTCACGTCACGTCCCACGTCGATATTTAAATAGTTTACTTTACGTGAGTGACGTGACACCGATATTCATTCGGTTCTAACTAGACAGTAGAAAGCGGTTGCATTTAAAACTTACTTGACATTCTCCGATGGAAGCCCAAAATCTACACCATTCATGCTCATCACAACATCCATTTGTTAAGCATTTGAATTTGGATGTTATTGGTGGGGATAACGTCTGACTTTGACATTCTGAAAAGTAATAGATGATTGATCAGATAGATATCAATATTCAAATTTCCATAAATTTAGTGTATTAGTTTGAGCCCTAATAGGACTTGATAGACCAGTCTGTCAATGCTATCCTTAGACATCCCAGAAGACATTTTAAAACGGAAACTTTGCGTCTAATCCCTTGTTAATCGTCACTTTAAGAAGATTGTGTTTGGTAATCATACGATTTCTATTCGCTTCGCCTTCTCTGTAACCTTCCCAAAATGTTCGATTGCTTCAACTAAATTGTTTCCAAATCGTCCGAAAATACTTGATCTCAATGAATTTGGCATTGTGTATCCTCTTTGAAACATTATGATTTTGGCATAATCTATAGCATAATTAAGGAAAATGTTTCTTTTCTTAATCCAGAGTGAGAAAGAGAAATCTATAAGCTATGACCATCGAACGATTTGTTCTTTTTTCTTTTTTTTTGGTCAATCCTGTTATTGTCTCTTTGCTCTTTCTTTATTTCTTCTGCAAATGCCATATATGGCAAATTAAGTGAAGACAATTGGAATAGACTTCGCAGACAATAACTGGCAATGTTTTCCCTGGAAACATAGGAAGGGTGATTTGGAGAGAGGGAATTTGCCATTCTTGACCCAATCATAAGAGGAATCATTCAAATCATTTGCTGTTCTTGGTCATAAACAACGAGAACAACACTTGATGTCATCACAATCTCAATTGGAACCACAAATCGTCAACGTTGTCAACTATGACTTTTTGACGATTTCATTACAATTCAACAAGAAGAAGGTGATGATGATGAAGAGAAGCTGAACGAAAGTTGTCATCATCGAACGCTTTAAACCAGTTAATATAGCTTTAAAAATCTGTCACACCTATATACAAAAACTGGCAAACATAACAGATTTACAAAACAAATTTTGGAAAAAAAATCTCTTTTTCACCTTAATTTCCGATCATACATCAAACGTCGGCTGTCATATTGAAACTGAATCTGATTTTGCGCTCAAAGCAGAAACATATTCAGATGTGAAGTATAATTAATTGAATTCTTTGTGATTGTTTAATTGATGGAGAGGTTGAATGAATGATTCAGAAATTGGAAAAGATTCTTCTTCAAATGATTTCAGTTGCGATTTGTCTTTTCTTGCTTCTGACAATTTTGAGAAAGACAGAAATGGAAATTGATATGACTTTTACAGCCACAAGAAAAGATTTCAGCTTTTTCTTAAACTTTACAACTTCTTTTAAAAGCCTTTCATATGATAAGAAATATTCTTTATATGGAGCTCTATCTCTTCTCTCATCTCTCTTTCTCATTCTCTCTCTCACAATCTTTCCCTCTCTCTATCTCTTCTTTCTTTCTTTCAACTAACTCCTGTAATTGCACAGTTCATCTCAGTCAAAAAAAAGAGAAATTTCCTGTTTCGAAGGTCTACAACACTCTTGGAAGTTGTGAATTACATCTGTTAAACGGGAAAATTAAACATAACTGTAAGAAATGTCTTGCAGAAAAAAACTTTTTTTTTCCATAACAGTTCAGTAGAAACGATTGTTTATATGGTTTAGAGAAAACGTCTTCTGTTACCCGGACGGAAACTTTCATCATTCATCGAACATCTTTTACAAGATTACCTTATTCAAGAGAAAACTTCAACGGAAAAGGATATGTTAAGAAGAATTTCCTAGATCAATTAGATATCTAGGAAGCCTTAATGAAGAAGTATTACTTGGGAAATCTCAAAAGAGGTCAGCATCATGTTCCTTTCTTCACCTCGAAACTTATGAAAACGAATGTAGTGAGTGAGGATAAGGTTTTCATTCATTTTAGCAAGACAAACAAGATTCTTTTAATACAAATGCTTTTTCACCTAATAAGGAAGAAGCGAAAAAAGGTTGTCCGCGATAAAAAAAGAAATAGTTGAAATTCAAATGAGAAGGTGAATGAACCCTAACAACCAGTTCGTACTTAAGGTCGACATCATTCCAATCAAAGCAAGTACATGTACTGATGAGAGTATTGATATAGCATTAGATAAAACAAGGTTAAGCTTCTAGTGCGTGTTCGCCTAACAGTTCTCTTTCAACTTTTCTCGATATAGTCTTCCTTCAACGTTTTGACGAAAAATTCAAATGGCACCTATCGTCCTCTTTCCTTAACGAAATTTGATTGAGAAAACGGTTTGTCCCATATAAAAATCATTCTTTTCACGTCAATATGAACAGGCCTAAGCTGGCTATTGCTGGCTACAGGTGAAGAAGTCTCATAGATTAAAATGAAAAGAGTGAAGTGAGAGGGAGAGATAGAAGAAGGGACTGGCGAGAGGAAACCAAATAATCGCATGGCTAGACAGTTAAAGAAGCAAAAGCTTCTTGTATTTCTTCTCTTAACCGCCAAAGCACAACGACGGTAAAGTCCCCCTAGCAAGTATTCGTTGTTGGCTTTCCATGTGCTGACATCAAGCAACAGATACATATAAGCGACGTCAAATCGACAGAAGGCGCCAATCCTGGCGGGAATCACCGAGCGCCGAACTAACGATTTTCTATTTAAGGGCATATATTTGTGTTCCCGTATTTTTCTTTTCTCACTTCTCAAGTTCATAACAGAACTGTCTGATAGGTTCCAAAGTTATCGATCGAACTGAATTACCGCGTAAAGCGATTGGGGTAGGGGAGGATAGAACGGTAGAATGTGAACGTTCAACTGGTACAAAAGAGAAACACAAGGAATCAAAATTAATCGCATGAAACATAATAGGAATTAGAGAAAAGAGTTTAACAGCACCGTTTCGAAACTGAGAATAGAGAGAATTAAATATCAATTTACTTCTATCCAATTATGAGAATTGTAGAAGAAAGGATTCTGAAGATGGTTTAAATAGCTTCTTCCATCTTATTTCAGAAATTCTTTTTCAATTAAAGAAAAGGAAAGTTATAAAGAAAACTATACGGAATGAATTAGATATGCTTATTCAATGCTTGTACAAGACAATATCATTAGTTTAATGGAAATCTATAGAAAGCATTACGAACCTGTCACCAAACTTAGAAATATAGTGAATATTAGGCTTAATAACAGCATGGCTTGCACTAAATATTTTGGGACTCCAATCACTGCTAGGTTTATCTAGAATGGCTTGATAGAACTATGTGTAGGAAGAGAGGGATTGGAGCCTTCCGGCTATCACTTACCTTTCGCTCTTCTTATCCGTTACTATCGAGGCTATCGAGACTGAGGTGAAGACGTGAATGTCAACAACGTTGTCGTTGTCGTTGGCGTCGTCTGTCGTCTGCTGAAGGTTGGCTATGTAGCCGTCGTCGCCCCGTCGTGTTCTATACCGAAAAAGGGGCGTGGCCACTGTTCGCCCCTGGTATTGCCCCCACCCTTCTGTTAATGTCAAAATCTCTAAGAAAAAGAATGTTAAACAATAATCTATCTTACAAGTTAGGACTTGTGGGGCTTCTTCAGAATTCTCGGCCTTACGTGATCTTGTTTGCAATTTAAGTTCTGAGACACAAGACTGTAACGATGAAGAGTTTTGAAACTTTTTTTTGGTCAGAACATGATGCTTCACAACAACATCACAAAGAAAACTAATCAGACATCAATAAATTTAATATATTCATGTTAATAAGATAACAGAAGTGTTAAGATGTTCTATGAATCAGAAATCATCTAAGCATTTTCAAAAATTAGCAGTTTTGATTGAAGTTTTACTTCATCTTGTTTTTCAATAATTCTCTCATAGCAGTAACCGATCGCTGATTTTATTGAAAACTGTTTAGATAAACGAATAATTAACGAAAATAAAAAGTAATATCGAAAAACATTAACCCGAAATTTCAAGGGCGATAATGACGTCAATTTATGATATTTAAGGTAAAGGTAATTATCATTTTTGACTTCTAAATTTAAAAATAATTTGTATTCTGGACGAAGATTGAAAGGAGTCACGTTTTTCTACCCCACTAGAACTATCAGAGGAGCTAACAGAAGAACAAGTATAGTAATATCTGAGGAGACGATGTGATGAGAAAGAGAGAGGAAAAGAAAAGAAAGCAACCGTTCTGAAGCGATGACTAAATGCAAATGAATGCTCACAACTGATTTCACGTGAGATGGGAGCGTTACGTGAACTTTCCACAACAACACGATTGTGTCGAACAGAGATGAGAACCGAGTCACTGCCCTCCATCAACCTTTTAATACTTTATTTTTAATGAGCTTTCGTACTAAAATGTAAAAAAGGTCGAAAACGTATAAAACAGGTTTCATTCAAGACTTTAATTGTTTGTTTTATTATTTAAGTTATTAAAGATGAAGATGAAACAACAAAAACAATTGTTTCCTTTTTAGTATTCATTACTCAGGTTGTTTTATCATTCTTCTGCAGTCAATCAAATTCATTTTTGTTTTGTATTATTTCTATACTTGAATGGTAAGTCTCAAACCAAAGCCTGGGTAGAAGACAAGCATAGCAAAATCATTTGTCTGCTGATGCCTTCAGATGACTTCACGACCTATAGAGGTCATTGTACGTTAAGACAACTTTCCTCTATCTCTCTATGGCAATAAAAGGAGAAATGATAATTTATAAGAAAGGAATGGAAGAGTAATGATCAACGTTGCCAATTGTCGTCATCATCATCAGAAATCACAATAAAACAGAAAAAAAATGTTGATAACAAGTCTTTTGTCATTCAAATTAAATGCAATTATTTCATCAAACTAGTACATTCAGATGATTCCCAGATGGAATTTTAAGAATTCTCTCTTTCGGGAATATTATGACCTTAGAAAATTGTAATTTTAAGATCATTTTTCTGTTTTTTTTCTTCGGACGTATCAACCGATATCTCAAGGTTTCTTTTCATGAGTCTTTTTTTATGTTGTTTGTTGCTATTCTCAGACAATAAAGGGCATAACGTCTTATCAATGCCTAGAGGATAGTAGAAGAGAGAATGTATAAAAAGCTCTCCAAAAAGATCTCTGCAAAAGATAACAAACACTTATCAAAGAAATCATGATAGCTCGGATATCATATGGTCCAACTTTGAAGACTGAAGCTCATTCATAAAATGGAAATACCACCCGTTCTTAAGTAATACAGTTCAAGTCTTCCTCTTGTATCTTGCATATTGTTTCTCAAGAGATGATTGTTCCTTCATACGAGAAGCTTACGCAGTTCGCAATAGCAACTTCTTTCTCTCCTTTTCATTTGAAGATCTGGCACCGTCATCACTACCGAAAAAAAGAAATTGTGATAATTAAACTGCGTTCTTAGTTCAGTTTCTCAGCTTTATCAATTGCAGGTGAGTCTCATTATTCACTGCGATTCACTTCAAATCAACTGAACGTCACCAATACCTCTTTTTTCTTGAAAGAAAAAGAAGAGTTGAGAAAAAGATGTAATCGTCAAGTATCAACTAATATTAATCAAACCACTTTGTAAAACAAAACCACATGGAACACTATACTTTCGTTCATCTGTCGAAAAGATCTTGTTGATCAAGTAAGAAATGGAGGATGATGATGAAAAGCAGAAATCTATCATATGCCATGGATGATTACTTTTGTTATTTTTATTTGGCTGAGGTGACATGAAGAAGTATGAGTAACGTAAAAGGAAGTTCGAGAGAGAAAGAAAGAAATTGGAAGAGAAGCAGAAAGAGAGAGAAGTAGAAAAGAGAAAAGATCTCTTGCAAGCAGGTAACAAAGAAGATGCCGACGATTGACCGGCTTTTGTAACAACAAGAAGTCTTGTGATGAAGCATCTGCTTTACGATACATCAAACTGAACTTTACTTTTCATATTTCCCTTTTTTTTCTCAAAAACACCTGTGTCTCAATAATGGGATCATGATGTCAGTCGTTAGAGGGACATTCTGAATATGAGAAAAGAAGAAGTAAATAGATTCTGTGTGGTAACCAAATCCAAGGTTTCATACAAGTAAAGAACAGGATAACTATGTCATTGCACCCATAACTTATCCGAATTTTGAATGAAAATCAGGTGTTTGAAGCAGGATTGAAGTTGAAAGAATGAAACCGTAAAAGGTCAACCACATTCACAACAGATGTCACATAAAATCGAAAATGAATCAGAAATAAAAGCAAAGACAAAGAGAGAAACTATAATAAATTCTGAAAATAATAAAAAATTAGAAGCGGAATATAATAAAACTAATTGTTTTATCATGAAAGCTTCACTTCCGATGAAGGTGAAAGCTGTCCAAAAGATGAAATATTTGAAGAACTTATGAAAGGAAAAGATGAAATTTAAACCAAAAAAAAATGTAACGGTGACGTGAGAAAGAAGATAATTCATTGCCAATTAGGCTTCTAACTTAAGACAATCAGTCAAGGAGAGGAAATTATTTCAGAATTCAGGGAAATGACATACAGCTAATGAAGTAAAAGACACATTGAATATGATAGTTCAATACAAATTTGAGTCATCATCCGAACTTTTCAACAGATAATAGGAAATATGACATGGAGCTGAGACTTGAACAGCTTCATCTATGACAAGAACCGAAGAAAACGAGTTAACTAACAGTCGAGATGATAAATAGTTATTTCTATAGTTGTATATCCTAAACTAACTAGACTAATAAGCTAAAGAAACAAATAGTATAGTTAATCAATATGCTTACTATATGTAATAGTTAATGGCATTCAGTTTCAAACTTGATCGTACAATCAATCAATAAACTGATTTTTCTCATTTCTTTCCTTATTATTTAATGATTCATACTGTAAATTCAATCAACAATACATAATAGAAGAGCATGTGAAGCTCAAAAAGAGGAAAAGTGATATCCTTTTCGATGGAAAAAGAAGGAAAAATCTATTTTCTTTGCATGGCACAAGTGAAAGGTCTCTCTGAAAAGGGTGTGGAGATAAACGAAGGAATCAATTAATCATCTCTCAATCAACAAACATAATAAACAAAGAAAACTAAAATTATTTTGAACAATATAATATAATTTTAACCGTTTCAAATGTATCATTCAACAAGTTTTTCAAAAATTAAAAGATTGAAAAGTGATTTAATTAAACGATATGGTCATTAAAGCCTTTTAAGGATTATGCAACGAACCGGTGTGCTTTCTCTATCACGTGCTATTCCAATTAAGACATTTGAGACTATTCTGATCAGTCTTTATTCTATCTCTATTATAATTTGATGGTTTTCCATTTCTATAATCAGTCAACACGGTAGATTTCAAATCTCGAATGAATGAAAAAACATATTCAATACCTTCTTATTGCCATTTAAATCCAACGATACAACCATTATACGATAGTTTGTCAGTAAAGTACAAGATAGCTCCGTCTGTAGAGATTGAAATGACTTTGTAGAATTTTCTGGAAGACAACCGTTCTGAGCAATTAAAAACTAGAAAATACTTGGAAGAAGTCAACAGATGATACAAACGTGAATCACACGTATGTTGATATGCTAATTAGCATTGGAAGGAACAATATCATCTCTTGTGTTAAGAAGAATACATTTCATAACCTCCCACACATATAATAGATGTTTGAAATGTTTTTGTATTTATTTGAAATATAAATGTTGACAGCTCTTGTTAAACTTGATGAAAAATCAGAAAAATTTAATAAAAATGATCTTTTGTTCCTGAAAGAAAAACGATTAGAGAAGGATACTTTGTCATATTATTATTTTGAAATCAGATGATGTGAATGTTCAACAACCAGATGATTTATCAGATTATTAGACAGTTAATGTATTTTCAACAAATTAAACAAAAATACTTTGAATGGCCTCAAGGTATTCTTCATGCAATCAGATAAAAGCTATAATTTCCATTTATGACCGTGAGTTACATGTGTTTCTTCGTGTGTTTCTCAGGTTTTTTCACACATTATTTGATTTTGATCTTCATCATCATTATGATCTTCCTAACCTCCATACATTTTTCTCGAGAAGGGATAGCAACACCAGAGATATACATTTTTCGGGTGTTTCAAAAGAGAGTTGAGAGAAGTTTGAAGTGTTAAAACGACTTTTCAAAACTATGTCCTTTTCTTCTTTTCTCTCCATTTCCATGATCTTTTCGTTTTTTTGCAATCTCTACTCGACCCGATGAGATACGCTATGGATGCAAATAACCCCTGGGGCGTCATGGGTGCGGTATCGTCTACATCATCGTCATGATCATCATTTTGATGTCCTTAGATTCTATATGACATAAGTTGTCAAAACTTCGTTAAATACAACAAAAAATTCCATGCCATAGGTAGTCATCGTTCAAAACCGAGATTCAGATGACAGCTTCGGTCCTGTTGTCTTGTCAACATCGATTCTGCTAGCTGTGAGCTCAACTGTGAGAGAGGTTAGCTACGAGAACTATTAACTTTTCCTTATACCGTTTCTAACTAGTTGTTGATTATTTTCATACTTTGACGACCCCAGGAGCCGACACATCCTGTTATTTTTTCCATCACTTCTCTTGTCCATTGCTTTCCGAGTCATGAAACTCCTTCCTCACCAAATTTTCTGCTACACGAACTCACGTTAACATCTTCAAATTTCGTTACGCTTGTACCTCTCTATTCTGATATCAAGAGGAATGAGATATTCATATAGCTGTTCTCCTTTTCGAAATGTTGACCTGAACTAACTAAGGATAGATATATCTCAAAGAAGAGACAACTGTATAGAGAAAGAATGGGTAATTCAGAGAAGATGAGTATTCTGATTTCCTCAACTCATTATTGATTGAAAAATGGATCTTTTGGATTCAAATCGTTCTTGAAGTTCCTCTCCTCGTTTTTCACTTTCGTACAAAGTCTTTATGATTTTTTCTCTAAATCATTCAACACTCATTCTTCGCATCACTTGAACAGTGTCTTTTGAAACTTTTGACCTGTCAGCCTCCTCTTAGAATACGATTTTGTGAAGAAGCATTGACCATCCATTATGGCGGGACACTTGCCAAAGACATTCTTTATGTTCTAACAATTCATTTATTTTTGGAAACAGAAAAAAATTGTGTTTCAACTACAGTCATTCTACCTCGGCAATATTTGTAAGCACATTTTCCCATGAGTGGGAGAAGCCTCCGACTGCCTCAAAAGAAGAAGTTAAGCGAGGTCAGGGGCATTCCAGAGAATTTGCAGTTGATTGTCCCTCGTACAATCGAATATACTTCTGAAATTCCATTGAGAACGTAAATAGTATTTGAAAAATGTCTTTCAAAAACTTTTTGTTTCATTTTTATCATTCCATCCCGACATCAATTAGTGTTACTGGTATCATTCTACTTTGATACTCCAAATCGAATATTTTTTTCGATTCCATTAAGATGGTTTCCTTATTCTCTCTCTTATACTCCTTATTTGGTCTTGATTACCCTTTTCTTTGCTTAAACAATGAGTGTCGTGTCTTCATATACTTTTTTCTTCAGTTTATACTTATATGGAAATGTCGTTAAAGACAATTCTAATGACCTCAGCATGAAAAGCCTTTAGAAGTTTTTCTTTCTCTTCTTGTATCAAAGAAACATTCGAATAGGAATTAAGCTTTATTATTGAATTAATGTTCCTTTTCTTCATATCGACTATAAAGTGACTCTTTTCAGTTTCGAATTGTACGCTTAGTCTGCTTACCTTTACTAGTTCCTTTCGTAGTTCTTGCAGAAAATACTAAATATGCCTTTATAAACGTTTTTTCTCGTCTAGATCAGCTTCTTCAATTTATCATATGATTGTATCATATAATATGAAGAAATTTTGTGAATAATAGTATGAGACCTTGGACGCTTACAGAGCTCCTTGACAAGCATCGAGATAACTTCGATGTTTTGACATTTCATTGGCGATTTCTCTCTTTCATTTTTGACTGGTTTTTCTCGAAAAAACAAGGCAGAAGAAGCAACTGCATATGGTCTAACACGATTGTTCCCTTTGGCAAGGTCGTCGTATCATACACATCTTCAGCACATCAAACTCTCACCCCGGTACCCATCCTTGCGCTCTCACTCTCACTCTCTCTCTCTCTCAACATCAGAACTTGGACGAGAAGAATGCTATAGACATTGCGTCCGTCCGTTCTTCCTTCTTCATTATCTTCTCCTATCACTCGCTGCCGATGTTTCTTTTTTCAAGCGATGATCGAGAGTTATGATCAAAAATCCGATTTCTTTGTCTTATCAAATCATCATCTTGAAGCAAACATGAAGAGGCGGACAATCAGATCGTTCTCGCATCGACATCAGCACAACGAGCTCCTTCCTCCGCCTTCCTAGACTTCATCCTTGTAGCTTCTTTTTCCTCGTTTTATTTTTCTTCTTCGAGTCTTGTCACCGTCTTTGAACCTTTCGAGTGTTTTGGCTCTAATCATCAATCATCTTCGGAGCGAGTATGGTAATCAAATTCAAATTGTAAATCTCGTATGCTTGGCAGAATGCCTATTGTCATTTTAAGCCGATTAGTTCATCATCGTATGTGTCGGAAGCTTATATTGTGAGTTGAACGAAGTCGAAAACGGCTCTGACAGATGTTGATGGTTTTTATATAAAATAAGTCGATTACCAGAATCGTTTTCGTTTCTCCTCTTCCTTACATGGAATCAAGACTTTTGCTACTTTTTATTCTTCTCGTTATCCTCTCGTCGTTTTGTATTTATCGTTCTCTACAATTTCTATTTCAAATATTAAGAATGAGACCGTGGCTGACGTGTCTACTTCTCATTTCTTCTTATATTGGTTTCGGTAAGATTTTCAAACTATTATCATCAACTTAAATTGCTTTTTTCTCTCAGCTGAAGCTCAGCAACCAACCAAATGCGTTGCTGGACGTCCAGACTGCTGTGATCGCCATCAATTTTGTGTTTTTTGGGCTCAGCGAAACGAATGTAACATCAACCCCAGATGGATGAAGAAAAATTGTCAAGTTTGTTTTATTTCTGCAGCACTTTTCTGAAAATGATGATAAATTTAGGTTTCCTGCAACGTTTGTTCCGGAAGTCGTGATGATCCTTCGACAACATCGTCATCTCCATCAACCATCACAACTACCACGATGGGACCATTACGTAAGATACATCTGAAGGGAATCAGAAGAAAAACTTCTCTATACTTGTTCCTGCATTGATGCCTCATCATTTTCACTTTCTTTCAGCTGTTCCTCGACCAAGCAATTCAAGTCAATCTGGGATTCCTGCCGGGTGTAGTTCCATTTCAGCAGTTCAAGGTGAGATCGTGGATTGAATGTTCCTTTTGAAAGCCAACACAATAAAAAAATATTTTAATCTTTACACAAGCTTTGAGACGTTCAATACCTTTGATCTATGCAAAATAACATTTTTTGTTGCAGTCGAGACACGTCAAGTTTTTGGAGCAGATGCTTTGACTAAACGGTTCAACCAAATTGGATGTGCTGAAGTTCAAATTGGGCCAGATTGTTCTGTAAACATGTGCTATCACAAGAAGTATAGAAGTCTCGATGGAACTTGCAATAATATGAGAAACACCATTCTCGGAGCTTCTTTCACTCCTTTCACGAGAATGTTAAGTGCTGCCTATGATGATGGGTTCAATGCTTTAGTAGGTGTGTGTTTTCATTAAAAAAATATTTCTTATTCATTCATAGAGTTTTATAAGTATTGTAACATGTTTTAGCTACAATCAGACGTAATCGCCCAAACGCACGTGAAATTTCCATGTTCCTTCTTTCATCTTCCCGAGCGCTAGACAGTCACGCTAACAGCATGCTGATGCAGTTCGCCCAGGTAAGATCACATTTTCCCATAAGCATACTTTTGCATTTTTCAAGTTTGTATCACACGATGTTACAAAAAACTCCTTGATTAATACTTGTAACTGCCAATCAGCTGGGCCTCAATGTGGTAACGTTATAGTACCTGCTGCTGATAGAGGGTTTGTTGATAATGGATACTTTCTTTGATAAAACTTTGAGCTTTAGTGGACGTCAATGTATACCATTCACAAGATCTACTCCTGTTTGTGGTACTGGAGTTCCTAACCGTATAAGAGAACAACTCAATTTGAATACAGCATTCATTGATGGAAGTTTGGTATGTATAAGATAAACTTGAAAGCATGAAAAAACAAAATAATTTTGAAGATTTATGCTTCTGAAAGTGTAACCTTGCGGGCTTTGCGTGTCGGATCAATGCTTAGGACACAGGTTTTATATATCGTTGAAATATCTGTGAAACAGAAGTAATCTGACTCAGGTGATTAATGGAAGAATTTTCCCACCTGGAAATGGAAGAAATTCTATGTCAGTAGGAGATGATCGAGCTCCATTGTTTGTTGGATTAGCCGCTCTTCACACAACTTTCCTTCGTCTTCACAACAAGTACACAACATTCCTTTAATGTTGTAAATCATTGTTTAAGCATCGCTGCTCGTCTGCAGAACATGAACCCTCATTGGAACCAAGATCGAGTGTTCCAAGAAACTCGCAAGATTGTTGGAGCTATCATACAAGTAACTCAAGTTGTGTTTACTTAGTTGCATATCGTTTAAGGTAATCGTTTATCAAGAGTTCCTTCCAACTTTGATTGGACCATTCCATTCACGCTTAGTTCCAAGATATGGAGGGTTAGATTTACTATCTTTCTGAATAATGTAACGATGAAGCAATTCAGTTATCAAGCAAATGTTAATCCATCAGTTATCACAGAGTTCTCTACTGCTGCTTACCGCTTACATGGAATGATTCAGGTAAGCTTCACAAGACAGTACCACCTTCATTGTATTAATATTCTAGGAAAGCTATCCCTTACTGGATTCTAACTTCAGAGAAAGTGGAAACACTCCATTCTTACGCGGTGTTAATAACTTTGCTCAAATCATGGGAGACATTGATGCGATTTACAGGTTAGAGCATTTTTTATTTTATTCCTTCCTCTCGTCATACTGCTTACATCAAACTTACGTAAAATCCACGTGTGACCATTAACGAACGAAATTATTCATTATGAAATTTGATTTGATCACCGGTTGCATTCAAAATGGTACTAATGCTGATTTTCTATTTCTAGAGGTCTCATAGCCACACCAGCCAGAAATCCTCAACGTATAACCACTTCAGTAACAGAACGTCTGTTTGATGGGATGGGGGACATGGCTACATTTAATATTCAAGTATTCTTACTAGTACATAATGGTTATTAATCCATAATTAAGAGAGGAAGAGATCACGGGCTTCGACCATACAATGATTATAGGAAGTTATGTAATCTTCGCCCTGTCACCAATTTTACAGATGTAAGTCTTAGTTAATGGAGTACTATGTATCATCCTATTCAAATTAGTGGCCAGAAGTAACAAATCCTAGTGTACGACAACGAGTAGCTCAATTGTACTCAAACAACCCAGAGAACGTGAGTAACATTAGTTTGAACATGATCTGTTCTCAACCAAATTTTATATAGCTGGATTTATATGTTGGAGGAATTTTGGAAGAGCCAATTGATGGTAGCATGGTTGGACCAACGTTTGCTTGCATCATTGCTGAACAATTTGTCCGCCTCCGTGATGGGGACAGGTATGTATCGGATGAAAGTATCAACTATCCATTTATTTGAGATTCTACTTTGAAAACCCTGAAGCATTCACATCTGCTCAATTGGCCGCTTTGAAGAAAACAAGCTTATCGTGGGTTTTATGTGATACAGGAGACAGGTAGATAAATCCTATTTTAATGAAACAAAGTATGTTTTCAGCATGACCAGAATCGTCCCTAAAGCCTTCACCACAGATAGAGGGAACCAAGCTGTTTCATGTGCTTCCATAACTCAGCTTGACTTGACTCCTTGGACTGACTAAACTTCCGAGATAGCTGCTGGCCGGTTCCCAGACGTTTTTTCTCGTTTTCACTTTCCTTTCAGGTCTTTTCCTTACTAGTTTTTCATGGAAATTTTTCACGAAAAAGCTAGTGCTTCTGAACTGACAAAATTCTTATATTTCTGTACAAACTATCAGATTTTCTTCGTTTTGTCACATTTATGTGCCATTAAGTAGTCGCTAGTTATCCTCCGTCTTCTACGTGTTTCCTCAGAGCTTTTTCTCTTCAAATTTTCTCGATTTCTTAAATTTTATCTATTTAATCTGATTTGAGCTGCCTTCTAACGAGAAAATTCCAATGTATAAAACTGTTGCCAATAATAAACATTTATGTACCAAGCTCTTCTAGATTAGTACGAAACGGCAGTAGGTTGCTCAACTATAACCGAGGGTTTCGTCTCATATTCAATGAAACTGGAAGATTTCAAAATGATTTGGTCATTGCTTAGGCTACCACTCACGTGTATATCCGTCGTAGAACCTGAATATATTTACCACTTATGATGCTAACATGATCTGCTCCATAAAGAAACAGCGGGGTGACGGGATGTTGTAGAATGGAGAATAAGGCTTCTGAGTGCTCAGATGAGATGATTGTATCATTCATTCCGTGACATATTAGAACCGGAACTCCTATTAACGAAATTTTTTCATAACTGAAATACTTCACAGTTTAAGATGAACGAAAAAAACCAGAATTTACTTTGTGAAGCAATCGCAGGATTTTCCCTGGGATAAAAAAGGCTCATTTTTCAATAAACGATAACCGCTCGTTAGCGGAGCTATCAGAATTACTCCAACTAACTTTGAGCAATTCCTTGATGCTAAGTCAATCACAGCAGTTGTTCCTATGCTATATCCCAAAAGAATAATCTATGAAGTCACTTGTCTTAAAAAGATCGAACACTTTTTTCGAACCTCTTTATCAGGATCATTCGTTCGAACGTATTCATATACAGCCTTAATATCTGAATAAATGTTCTCTTCACTTGGTGTTCCGCTCGACATTCCAAATCTTTAAGTTACAATATGGCTTATTCTTATCGTCATGTTCTAATACCCTGAATAGTCGAAGCCGTACACATCCACCTTGAAAATATCTGCCATCTTCATCAGACTTAACCCAGACGGATGTAAGTATCCCCATAAATCAGAGGAGTTTGGTTGAGCGAAAATAATGACCTGATATTGTAAAACAGGATGAAACCGAGATTAGTTAGAGAACTACTTTTTTGGAATTCGTACGACTACTTTGTGAGACAGGAGGACTACACTTGACTCCAACCAGATAGTTGCCCAAGTTTGTTTGGACTATGAAAGTCTGGAAGAAAAAAATTAATTTCGACATATTATAGTTTCAACAATTGATGAATACTTCAACAGTCTCATAGACTACACTACATGTTCCGAAAGTTCCGAAGGTTAGTCATTAGAACTATGTGTTTGAAATACAAAAACAAATACTTGAGTAGGATGCTGATAATCGTTCGATATTTGTTGATTGCTCACTAAAGGGTAGATAAAGAATGCTTGATTACAAATCTGAAAAACGACACAATGTCTAATAGTAATGTAGCATAATGAACCTGCTTGGCACTGGTAATTATTTGATTTGGATCATCTCTCAATTGAATAATATAGGAGTTTGTTTTTGAAGGTGGATGAAAGGCTACTTTACGGACAATGTGGCTGGGACAAGGCGGACAACCAATTCGACAACATAATCCACAAATCTAAAAATAAACTGTTTTTTATCGTCCAAAGAAAGAAAGCGAAAAGTTCAAAAATTGTATAAATGAATTACTTTGATGCAATTAGTTAGCCAAGGTTCACTTGGAATGTCTCTAGGCTTTCCAAACGAGGTCTGCAATAACTGTTTTATATAATGAATAACAGTTTTATAAAAATGAATTTTCAACAGACTACTACTTGTTGAATATCAATCAATAGAAGATAAAATGATAAAAACTTGATGTGAATAGATTAGTCAATATGTATCTGAGGACAAAGTTATCTTCTGTTATTTGTAGAGTAATATAATGAATGAAACTATTTATATATATTCAAATATGGCTTGAAACTTGAAAAGAAAATATATTTTCTTTTTCATTTTAGCAATAATAAAAAATGTCAACGAACCTCTGTCTGATAAGATGTCATGACGAGTAACGTTAGATGTTGTTAAAAACGTCCCTACTGCTGTTTACGAAATTTACTCACATAAACGTCTCAGAACTCATTACGATTCAAATTGCCACGTGCTTTTCACGTGGATCAACTGCGTCAGTTCAATATTCTAATGAGATGTGAATACGATGTAGCAAATAGTTGAATGACGACTTTGCCACTTTTAGCCTCCAACTAAAGCGTTTATGGGTTATCGCTAAAGTGTAAGAGTTGAAAAGAACTTTTTTTTTCAATTAAGCCATCTTTCATTTTCAGAGTAACGTTAGACACACAGAATGGTTGATTTGTCCTGATCCTATAAGCTACTTTAGCTCACAATATACAGAATGATATAGATATAAAACATACTAGAAATGTGGATGGGTTAACGTTGTGCGGTACGTTTTCAATGTGTTTCTTGTTTAAAATAATTTTTGCTGCGCTGGAAAGCTATGGCAAAGATTTCTATACGCCAACCGTCTCAGCTAATCCGTTCAGTACTTCAAATCTTATCTTTTTCATTTTCTCTAATCTCTATTATTGTTCCATTACCTTCATAATCTTAAGATTCTTACTGGATTTCATATTTCGTCCAAGATTATATAAATACATATATATACACATATATATAAATCTTTGGTTATACTTCTTTCTACCTTCTAATAGACTTATTCCGTCTTCCTAGTCAAGAAATGTATTCAAAGACATTACAAGCCTGAAACTACAATATTTAGATCCAATTCTCGAAATCGTTGTTCTTTTATTGGACAAAAATTGAGAAAGTTTCGGACGATCTTTAAATTTGCTCCGATTCCCCACCTTTCTTCAGTTTACTTCAAATCCCGTCGAGTATCCATTCTGTCGTTTCATCCTAGCTTACAGATGAAGAGCTTCATCCTACTCTCTACTTGTATCGCTGTGTCATGGGCCCTTGATGGTGAAATTAAGAATAACTTCACCAACCCACAAATTGCAACACGTAGTTTTATTGAAGGAAAAAATGATTAAACTCTCGTATTTTATTCAGAAGGATATGAATCGTCTTCTGATGATCATGTAGAGATCAATTGTGCAAGCCCTCAAGTAATGGCTAATGCTTCATTCCCGAATTGGATTAAGGTTGAAGTTTGCTTTAATTTTTCAAACTCATTACTTTCCTTCTGCTAGATATGGCGTGTTAATGGTTCGGAAGAATTTGATGTCAGTTTCTTAACGTTCGTCAACAAAAATGCTACGTTAATGTAAGTTTTGTGAGCGAGAGGGGCTGGAGAACAGAGGGAAAATTCACTAATATCCAGGTTCAACCAAGTCACGGAAAGAAATGCTGGAATGTATGAATGTTGTTATCATGCTTACGCTTACGAAGATTTTGAGTGCTCATCTACAGAACTTATTATCGATGACTCGCTACCCATAGCAACAACTGAAGGTATGAAGCTGAACTGAATAGTTCCAGTTACAATTTCTCTCACAGCTTCGCTATTGGAAGATGCATGGAATGTAAATTTGACTAGTGAAGATTATCTGAATTGTATAACAGGAAACTCTTACTTTGTTCGACTATTCAAAATAAACATAACTACTTTGGAATGCGTACTGGAGGAGAACTCTACTATTGCACTACAAACAGTGAGTTGCATCTTTTCCACTCAGTACACAACTATAACTTTTGAAGCTTAACTCCTTTCCATCTCCTCTTAACAACGACGTTTCCATTTTCAAGTATGATCCGCTGGTTCATGATGGAACTTACATATGTAACGCTACTTACGACTACGAAAACAACACCATGAATTTCTTTGTGAGATCTTTTAACATTAAGAAAAGAAGCAATCGATTTCTCAAAATAGAACAATGTTTTCAAGTCACTTCTTATTAACTAATCCTCTTTCAGAGCACCTTCACAGTACGCGAATCAGCTGATACGAACATACACTCCGAACACTTACCCCACAATATTGTGGATCCATATTTGAAATCGGTGGATACCTCACATTGGAGTCAACTGCTTCTAATGATTTTTATTTTTTCAATACTCAGACTTTAACCCTTTTCTGTTTGATTCTCAAAACTGTACGATAACATGCTTACCAAGGAAGGGAGAAATAAAAATTTTCTGAAGTTTTCGAATTTGTTACATGAAAACACTATTTTGGAAAAATGAAATGCTACCACCAGGTAACTCACTCTGTAAAATGTTAGATTCGAGCCTGCACGAATCCCGGACAACAAATTTAACACTAGTAGAAATGCAAATCGAAGTTCAGGGTCCCTTGTTCATGGATACCATGTTGAATCTCAAACCAAGGCGTTCATAAATTTATGATATGTCGGAAAGTAGGACATGCTCATGACACTATGATAACAGGGATCAATATATCGAAGAATTCCGTTTGTTTCATTAACTACAACATCAGCATTCGCTTCTTGATCATCATAATACTTTACCATGTTTTGTTAAATAATTGGATTATTCGAAAAGTCAGGAGTATCAACAACGCAACATTAACATGAAATAATCATTTCACTTCATTAAACAATTAAATTATGTGAAATGCATTTCACTCTTCCATCTTTGTCACACCTTGTTTCTTGTTATGTGACATATACTCATCCAACTCGCGATCTAAGTCTTGTAATTTCTTGGTACTGCGTTCTTGTCTGAAGTATTCTTATTCGAATTGTAAGTAGAAAGGAAACGAACCGCTTGAAATCCTCATCATCAGCAAGACGATCTAAGAATCGTGAGGTTTTTGGAGCACCTCCAGCACTGGAACGTTTGGTTTTCTGAAAGAATGGTTTCGCAGTGCTTATTATGATACTTCTTACCTTGTTGATTCTTCCGTTTATGGGAGAGCGTAAGCTCTTTCCTGCTCCTTCCTTGCGGAAACCTCCTCCTGATCTGTGTGTAGAACCAGCCTTAGGAACGGACAATCTTTCAGAAATGCTTGGAGCACCTCCTTCAGCCAACAAAACCATTTTCAATGGAACTCCTGAACGGTTCGACGTTTTTAGCAAAAAAAATTCATCCAAAAAATACCATCAATCAAAGCACCAACAAATTCTTTGAGAGCGCGACTAGCGTCAGAAGCCCGATCGAAGAATACATCAGCTGTGCCGAGTGAAACACCTTCAGAGTTGTAATTGACTTGAACTCTTTGGAAGTTGAAGGGTTGGAACATTTCCTGTAACGAAACTTAAAATATCGAAACAACGAATCTAAAAACCTCGAGATCAAGATCGATGATGTCTTGTGGCAAGTTGGTGATGCTTATTCTGGCATCTTTAGAAGCAACGCTCTTTGTTACAATCTTTAAAAGTATGTTGAAACAAAACAAAAAAACTAATTCTCTACCTTAGGGGCTGATCTAGCTGCTTTCCTTTCAACCCTGTCTACAGTTTGCATCTCATGGAACAAATCATGTTTCCATTTTCCTTCAATCCCACTTCCCTGGCGAAGACACAATAGCTATGAAAAATACTTATTTCCTTACTCTGGTAGCGGCTGAAGGGAAATTACGACTTCCTCTTTCCCTACTTTTGACTCCAGAACTCTGTAAAGGAGTTTTAGACAAAAATCAATAAAGACGCTACAAACCTTTTTTCCTCCTCCTCCTCCTGATCCAGATCGAGTAGCTTTTGATTTTCGGATGATCTCATCTAATGACATATTAACAGTAGCCATTCTGTAAAAGTTCAAGATTGTAACATAAGGAAAAAATAAATTTCGAAACAAGTGCAAAGGTTTTGCATTGAGATATGAGGAACAGAATTTCATAATTTTTGAAAAGATTGGTTTTGGTCTCCTTTAGCTCCCGTTTTTTGACTCCGCCCATTTAACTGTGCGCGTCTTGGTTACTTTGCGTATTACATTGCGTATTTTTTTTTGAAACGTGAAGACTTTTAGGTGAAACAGTATTACAACATACGAGTTGAACGATATTTGGGCTAGCAAATGATTTTTAAGTCAAAAATCACAATGCTTGGTATTCTTGAAGTTTTGGTCGAAAACGCCGAATACCTTAGAGCCTCAGATGTGTTTTTAAGCAAGTCATAGGAACAAGCATCCATAAAACAATTGACATCTGTTATTAAAGCCTGCTAGGTATGTGATCCATATGGAAGTATCCATGGCAGTACAGACAAGGACATATTCATCCACTGAGCAAGAATCTTGATGGATTTTCGAAACATATGCGGATCTGTTCAGTAAGCAGCATACAGTGCATTTTCATTTTTCTCAAGACGCTACCTAACACTCATTTCTTTTTCTTCGTTGTACTAACATGATACTTTCGTTTGCTGATTTGTCTCATTGATTGCCACGAGGAGATTGCAGATTTCAATTCTGTAGCAGCTCACTTCACAACTTGAGAAACATCATGTATCATGTCGGTTCATCATAAATCCACTTTCACACTCTCGTTAAACACAGCATGTTGTAGGATAAGAGTGGGACTTCCAAAAACAGCACTTGTTAAGGTTTTTCCTAAGTGTAATTTAGTAAGCTTGGAAGAGAATTGAAATTTAAAACGATACGACTATATATATATAAATGTATATATATATGAAATAAAATAATTAAACTTGAAACTTTCGAAATGTTCAAGAGGCCTTGTGTGAAATAACTCCCAAAGCGAACAGACGCTATCAAACTTGCTGCGCGGGAATTAAAAGATTATTAACTTGTCGCATTGAGAAGGGTAATTCCCCGAATGAAAAGAACTCACAAAAAGAAAACAAACAATAAAAAAACAGAAGAATTCAAAAATTAACAGCCAAGCACACAATCAACTGCGATATTGCATATGCAGATATACGAATTATCGATCGCGTCTGCCCAAGCTATTTGCTTTTAGCATTGGGTCACCGATTTAGGCGTCATTTTTCGTTACTGTCTGACCTATTGCTAATGGCTAATTCTTCAAGACTATCTTGCATAGCTTCTTGTTTCCTCTCCGAAGTATTAGAGAAAGTATAATTGTTTAACTGTACAGATTATATTACAAGTTTTCTTCTTTAAATGGTCACAAACAACAATTTTCGAAGTAAAGGACTTGAATAACGGTTTTATGAATTCTTGCTTTTCACCTCAATTTCCTCTCGACCATAGGAACATAACCACCTGGAGGTGTTAAGAATTTACCTATTCACACAACTAAAGACGCATTCAAAAGTGGGTAAAAGATCACTCTCCCTCATGAAAAGAATAGCTGGAGCTCTAACCTTTTCATTTTAGTAAAAAGAAAGTATTTGGTATCATGGCGTTGTTTTTATGGGTTCTTTTCTGTTTTGAGTCAGTGTAGCAAATTTTCAGACTTTTATTTTTCAACTTTCGTCACAAACTACATATCAGCACAACTAATATCAAATCATGCGCATTGAAGGTATGAGACAATAATGAGCATAAAATGAAGAAAAGCAGTGAGACTTAAATAATGGTACTCGGTTTCTGATCTCTTTTCTACAATTCCCGTGATAGAAATGTGAAGAGGACTGATTTCACAAGATCACTAAATCATCTCGAAAGCTTGAACATTTGGTCTCTGATACAATTTCGTTTTAATCGTTACTCAGTTTCGAGTCTACTAGAATACTACAGAATATGCCTATTGTGTTGCGATTGAACGTGGTTCTACGTGAGCCAGGTTCATTTTTATTTAATGAGAACGATTTAATTGAGTGGTTGCATTATTTTACGCTGGTCTCTCGAAACATGATGTGAATTGTAAGGTAATAAATAACGCTGCGTACAAAGTTTCATTACGAGATGTTGAAAATGAATTTTATTCAATGTAGATATACAAACTTGCAATAGCAAACTGTTAGAAATTATAATTTGTTTTGACCATATGTATAGGTGTTCGTATTTCCGTTCTCAACGAAAAATAGAATGTTTGATATTAATGAAGGCATCTACACGTTCATCTCAGAAAGAGCTTTAAGTCGGCGAGAAATCAGCATGATAAGAAAGATTCTGATCCTCGAAACCACAAAACTAAACATATATCGTTAAAGCTGAGCTATCAGTTCTTTTCGTATTCGTTCGATGAATTGAGCTGTCGTTTCAATATCGTTATCATCATTGACAGAAATACGTCGTCTGGATGCTTCTCGGGGTCTACCCTTTTCTCCAGGAATTAAAGAGTTTTGTCGTGTTCTTTCTGGTCCATCACATGAACGACATCGTGTCTGCAAAATGTAAGTACATATATGTGGTAAGCCTCACAGGGGTAACCTTATTATATTAGTTAATTAAACATTTTTTTGATTTTTCAACAAAAGTGCTCCCACTGCCTCCTCCTCCCCCCTCTACACGAACTACGATACGATATGCGATGTAAAACAAAAATAGTAAAAAACTGAAATCATATTTGTATTTTCCCTTGAAATCACAGATGTTGGTCATTTAGTTACAAACCTATACATTTCACTGATAATTTACTTATTTTTTCTCTTGTTTCCCTTGATTCGAATACTGCTACATGGCTTGTCAACAATATTCTTTTTTTCTGTTCTCTTTGGCTATATAGTAAAAAGAGGAAAAGCAACTAAAAATAAGAAGAAAAGACGTTTTCCAGAGCTTCTCTAATCTTTCTTGTCCTAATGAAAGTTATGAAAATTCTTTAATATTACGTTTAAACATCTTCAGTGTTGAAAACATCAAAATATCGTTTTATGCGAAGCCGAAATAGTCAAAAACTCATGAAGGAGAAGCCGATAAGAGGAAAGGCTTCGTAGAGTTTGTAGGAAATAATATGAATAATAATAGAAAGTTCTCACGTTAGTTCATACATATCCAGGAAATGACTATACTAATTGGACTAACAACCTTTCCCAAAGAGCCTGGTCAATTCGATAACGAGGAAGTACAGAAGATATTGAAGAAAAGAGAGAACGAGCATGAAAACAACAATGGGATAAGACTGTGAAAGGATTGCGCAATCATTCGTTAACCGAGAATTCATCTGAGCTCACATGCAAAAGAAGCAAATGTTATAATTAAAGATTCAAAATGTGCTTATTAGTGATGGAGTGCTTCTAATGGTCAGTTACTTTGTTACTAATTTCTCCGAAAATTCAAAGATTCATAACTCATTTATGAGAGAAGGAAACTCGAGTTTGCATAAGAAAATGTGATGAAAGTTTTTTTCATTTGAAAATCATACGAGGTATTTCGTATTTCCGCTTACGGATGTTATGTCATTTGTTAGCTTTCTTGCAAATTTCTATTTTAGGAAGTTTGATTATAAACATGACGCGTGTTAGCGAATCGATCAGCAACATAGTTTCTTCAAGTATTCAAAGGTGCGGAGATGTAACAAGCTTGCTTTCATCTGCTGGCTTTTAAAAAAAGATGAATTTGAATTGAAGATTAAAAGTCGAGAATTATGAAAAAGCTAGCTATTCTGACAAAAATAATCATATTTGGGTTTTAATGACAGAGACTCGGCCCCTTTCTCTCATTCTCTCTTTTTCTCTTTTTGTGTGTATTTACGTATGCCAAAACAACAAAGCTTTCTGAGCTAATTGTAGAAAAAGAAAATCATATGAAGCCTCTTATTGTTGATAAATCAAAGCTTTTCTTACATCAACGACCTCAACCTTAATTTCCCTTGAGGCCTTATTAAGTATTTTCTTTCCCAAAAACTTTGATAATGAGTAAAAAAAAAAGAAGCCAATTACCTCACTGTTGCAACGAGGCCTCATTGCGCTTCCCACTTTAATAGGATTTAACGTGCGAACATTCGACGTAGTGTCTTCTGAGGAAGTGGAGGATCCATTTGTCATGAGATTTGCATACGACGTTTTAACTGGTGGAGAAATGGAGAGCGTTTCGCCTGGCAAGTTCATTGAAATAGGCTCAAGCTGGAAGAAGTTGCAAAGTAACGAGATGTATGTGATGACTTACTTGTACTGATGACCGACGACGAGGATACGGCAGAATTTCAGTTGCACCCATCACTTAAACACAAGATGTAAGGACAGCTGATCTGAATAACAGCAAAAATGAAGAATGAAGATATTTAAGGTGGTCGTAGATAGTCAGCTTTCTATCAAAACCCCGCCTATCGTTCTTGCCAGTTGAAGCGGAGAGATATGAGCTAGGCAAGCAGAGATATGAACGAAAAGATAATGTTAACGTTTGAGAGTTGAGAGAAAGCTCAAAAAGGACTACAAATCATTTGAAAATTGAAACGCAAACTAATGCACTTGAAGGCAATATTCAGGAGAACACCACACCAGAAATACATTGGCGAGATCTTCTGAAAGTTCTTTCATAATTATTGTTATTTGTAAAGTTCTTGAACAAATTTTTGTGATAGATGTTTAATTAATTTTAATCTTCTATCCGATTCAGTTTCTTCTCATTGTCTGGTTCAACTTTAATAGTATAGTAATCACACATCTCCCGCGTAGGCAGAGTTTGCAAAGATAACCTGCTCAAGTTGCCATGCAGCAGTGGCTAAGAGAAAAGTATCATGTATAAAGAATTTCATAATTTGTATTAATCGAATTATTACATTATTTCATAATATTCTTACTGAATTCAATATTTTTTTGTTTGTTTCTATAGAAACGCGACAATGACCACACAGATGACCAAATCTGATCAATTGTCTTTGCCATGGGAGCTATTTAAAGTGATGAAAGAATGGAAAATATCTAGGAAATATAATTTCAGGGATTTTTCCAATCACAAAACCTGAAACATTGACGCAAATAACTTATCAACTGTGTTGATTAACATGTAAACATCGTTATGAAAGTCGTCAATGAAGCTGAAACAGAGCAACCGTCCGCGGAGTATGATTTTCAATATGTTTGTTTCTTGTCGTTCACGTAGAAGTGACGTACTCGTGAATTTCTTGGAATATGCTAATTAGCTGAATGAAATTTGCCGCAGTCGTTCAATTTGCTATAGATATCAGCAATTTCTCAAAGTTCACGCTGATTTCTCATCTTCAAAATAATTTTTTGCTTAATGAGAAATAGACTATTACGCTATAATAAACTAAACGGTTATTATAATTTGTTTTCTCATATGAACTGTGGTGATTGATCAATCAAAGCAAAGGATAATCGCAAAACAATAGAAACTGTTTGTTGTTTAATATACTAACTTTATTGTTATTTTCAATATTTTAGTCTTCGTTCAATCTGAGCAGGTAATGAAAGCCGGTATAAGAACATGAAAGCGTTTGTAATTTGAATGAAGGAAATGAAATTTTACAATGAAAAGCAAAAAAAGCAGATGTTGGCGCTCTCATCATGAGAGGAGTTAATAATTCAGGAAGTCTGGGTCGTAATCATAAGAATATTCGAGATCAATATCCAACTGAGGTTCACTTCTCAAAATTGGTGGAAGATGATAACGTAGCCGTCGCTGAAAACAGTTCAGGTCATATTCTAATTTTTTGTGATTTTCTAACTTCGCTATGTTCTCTCTCTTTCCGAGTCATCAAGGGGAGCATGTTGTCTTCGTCATACAAGAGACGAGGGAATGAGCGCGATTGTTTCATGGATATAGAACTCTGAGTGTTCCTTATGCTTCTGACATTTTGAGAACTTGAAAATTGACAGTGTTGAGGTATGATTGACTCTACAATTTCTTTCGCGTGAAACTCTTTGGTCTCGTATGTTTCATGCTGCGACCAGTTAGGACGAGCTGAGCCTTAAAGTATCATATATCTACTGTATGATTAGCAACGGTAGTGAAGCAAACTTTTTTTAATCTCTCTTTTTGTTATTTTTTTGATTGGAATGCGGCTCTCCCTGCTGTTCGTGATTTGATTATTAATTGGCGGAAGTTTTTCTGAAATTTGCACGAGCGCGGTACTTAAAACCAATTTATAAGAATAAACCTTTTTTCTGATTGATTTTGTTTTCTTTAGAATCCTCTATTTCCTGTTTGCTTTCATTGGTAATCTTCGTTCCAGAATCAATTGGAGGTAGAATTGGCGTTTCATCCATCTTTGGAGCCTTCTCGTTATCAAACGTTTGGTTTTCGTTATTGTTTTCTGATAAACCAGTCGCTGATGAAACTTGAAACAGTTTACCTTCCTGCTTCATATTGGAATCTCCATTGATATCTCCCAATGGAGGTAGCTTGGGGACGTTGATAACTGAAAAAACGAAAAACAAATTAATTTCACACAATTTTGAACCTTTTTCTCTTGAAGAGTATTTCTTGTCTTCGAAGCCCCAGACACTTTGACCAACATGATTAAGCTTCTCCAAACTACCGAACTGTAAACATTTCCAGTTCGATATAATTAAGATTGTAATTGAGTCCTATAAACACACTTTTCTGAGGTGGCTATGATGACTCTTCAAATGTAACGCTGATGTGCTTGGACTTCTAGTTAGAATCCCGTCAAAAGGATATGGCAAACCTTGAAGTTCAATAATTTATAAACTCAGTTTCCTCTCTAGAAGAAAAAGAACGTTTGAGAACACCTGTTATGCTTCCGTATCCTTCACGCTTGAGATAAATATCCATAGTTTCTGCTGATTCAAGAAAAACGGGTCTCGGTAAGTTTACTCGTCCCAATGATTTCCATTTCTAAAAACCAGCTCTGAATCTTTTCGAAAAGTACTTTGAAACGGGAATCTACTCATAAACTATTGCGAGCTCTATTTCAGAGCTGCAGGAATTTCGACCATAGTGAAGAATTGGTAAGCTTCCCGGGAAATGCTCTGATTTGGATCTCACCTTTTCTTCTGACCAATTATTTGCCTGTCCATAGTGACACTGCACGAAATTACCCTTCTCAACTGCTACATATTCTCCTTTGTGTTCCAGCTCATCGAACTGAAGGATATCCGGTAAGTTGAAATATATATGTGTTTCATGTCACGGAATAGATATAAGCTGACCAGTAGAATAACCGTTGACATCCGGTAAAGCACCTTCATCAGCTCACATCCTTTTATTCCGTTGTAAACAACTCACATGCTCTACCGGAATCCCTTGTATAGTGTAAAGACGATGAATAGCGGTAGCCGTCCCCAATTTTTTTGTTAAGCCATCTAAGAAAATTATCCAATGTTTGAACTCGCGTCGTGTAACAGCAACAATCTTTCCTTTGTCACGAGCATCTCCATTTTTGTAGACACGAATCTTTAACAGAGGCTTGCAGTTAAGTGAATTTATGATACCTTGATGGGTCGATAATCGTGATGAACACTCGAAGGCGGATGTATAAAATGTATATCTAGCTCTTTTAATTCCTCCGAATCCATTTCATAAAAATGAGCACATCTTCACCATTACCTAGATTACTTATAACTAGAAACAGATAGCTTTAATGATGGGAGAGTTCACAACGTTGAGGATAACTTCAGTAATGGTGAGCATAAGTTGGAAAGACATGTAATTCCCAGAAAAAGTTAATCAAGTAGAAAATATGAAAAAAAAAGTTTCTTCATCGTACTGACGAACAATAATAACTTTTGAGATATAAGTAACTAAACCTAAGATTTTACGTCTCAATCTCTCCCCCTCCTTTTACTTAGGTTGGAAATGGGTGGACAAGTGCTCAAAGAGACCAATTATATATCGATTCTAAACCAAGAAAAGCTGGCAGAGGGTGCCAGTACATAAAAAGAATTCATTCGAGGGTAAATAATAATTGTATTATGTTTTTTTTAGTTTTTTAATGTTCACCTTTGCTCAATTATTATCTCCACCAGCATATTTTAGTGTGCATAGCGCTTTCCAAGGGTGTTCTTATTGTTTTTTCCAGAGTCATTCAGACATGAGATGATGCTAGGAACTGTTGATTTTTTAGGTTTTCCCTAATATCATAAATGAACTCTAACTTTATTAAATATTTTTATTTTTTTTACAATTTTGGTTTCATTCTTCTCGGAATAATATCATGCCATATGGTGCTATTTCTAAAAGGTCACTTTACTGAGAGCATTTTTGAAATCTTCCAGGTTCCTTTGTTCCAATGCATCTAGCACATCACGTTCCCAAATGGGGAATCTGATGACAGCAGATCTTAAACTTTCAAAATATTCGAAAGTATTGTGTTTTAAACTACCTGAGTGCACTCCATATCCTGGAGCTATTTGAATTTTTTTGTAATTCTAAAGCTGAAACTAAATGCTCTGCCGCTTCTCTGAATTAAAAATATCAGTAAACCATTGCCATATTTAACAAACTTGTAGCTTTGTAGTTGCATACAACTTATGGCTAAGTTATATCTGGCTCTGACAAAACTGGGATGAAGTACTAAAGCTTGTCGATATGCTGCTATAGCTTCAACACTATTTTGACTATTTGCTAATGTGGCGCCAAGTCTATTCCACAACCTAGGATCCTGAAAAGGAAACATTACTGAAGACAGCTATGATAGTTTGATTACCTCAGGAGAACATTGAACTGCTATCCGTATACATTCAATCGCTCTAGCATAATTTTTATTTATATTATATAAAACTCCTAACGCATTCTGAAGTGCAGCATCAGGCTCTCCTCTTTGCTGACGTGCTGCTGCTAAGAACTGTTGTTCGACCTGGAAACTTTATATGAAATATGATCAGAATCTTAAAATCAACTTTTTCAAAATGAGCTCCATCCAAAAAACTGTAATACTGTTGTTTACTGTCTATAATGTGTTGAACTGGATTTCCTTCATAAACCGCCAACCACAGTGCTAAATACTTCAAAGCGTCGTTCTCCATTGATTCATTAGCCAACGACACTGAGATACCAAGTAAAGCCTGAAGATTGTATTCATATATACAAATATAGCTGAATTGAACTATACTTCTTTATTCGAGGGTTCTATATTGAGGGATTTTCTGAAAGCATCGATAGCTTTACCATCTTCTTCATTTTCCGCATTGGCCAGTCCCAATTTGCACCAAGCCTGGAAATATATCTTCATCCAAACTCTGTGGACACACGAAAAACCTGCGCATCGTTAGGATTTTGTTGAACAGCGGCTTCATAAGCCAGAACCGCGTTTCCTACATCACCTGCATTTGAAAATGTGTCCCCTAAAGTCACCGGATGTGTCTCGGAGGTGAAAGGATTATTCTCCTTAAAAACTATATATTGAAAAGAAAAGAAAGAGAGTCAAACCTCAGGATTATATACGTCGTGCCATGGTACATCTACACCTCCTTGAGCCATTTCAATACCTTTCTGCAAAGATTCATAATTATAAACTATTGATGAACTCTAGTAACTTGTATAGATTCCCATTCATTTTCCATATTTCTCCAAGTATCATTTTGTTCGTTTAAAAATTCGGATTGCCATTCATTCAAGTTTTGCTCTATCTGTAAATCAATTCATCTAAGCTTCAATTTTCCAACTAAACCTCAGATTGCTTTATATCAGAATCAATATTACTGAGAAACTCTGCTGACCACATGCTGCTGTTTGATAAACTAAAGCTAGAGATGAAAAAACCTTGAGATGTTTGGAAATTAACCTATGGTCATGTGAAATAGGTTCTCGCAGAGCATTTCCCCAGGCACTTTCCATAGGAGACCTGGATGTACTACTATACTGGGAAACCCATTGATTGGATAACGACTGGATATAGTTGCTTATATGTTAGAAATATGGGAAGAACATACTTTTTGAGGTTGCATGGTTGCATATTCATTGCTCCATGTGCCTGCTAAACTAGAGGATGATGAATGCTGAGGGAGGTTGGCTGCTAATGACTATAAAACAAAGCCATATGAGATTTAAAAATAAAAGACTACGTTGAGATTTATAGTGGATGGTGCGACTGCTGCTTTTGACTTTTCCTGAAGAAAACTGTTAGCAAATTGTTCTCCCAGTGAGTTTGAAGGTAGTAAGGAGGAAGTCCCTATAAAGACCACGTGAAATGATTAGAAACAAAGTAAAAAGTTTTAACTCACACTTATTCTTGAAATTCGGAAGTTTCATTATATAATTTGAACTTTTACGTGAGAGTTGTTTTAATATTTACAAAGTAAGTTAAAATTGTCATATCAGTGACATATTTCTAGATCCGGATGGTACAGATAAGCTTTGGTGATGTTGAAAAGATACAGAATACCGAAGCTACATTGTATTGAGATATAAACTACCTCATATGACTCAAACACGCGAGAAAAAAGAGATAGCATACCTATACTAGTTGCTGGAGCTAAACGTTGATTTGATTGTCCATAGTTGTGGGCTAACCCAACCAGAGCATTTGAACGTCCACATTCTCCTTCAACAAGGGATTTCATAGTAAACTTTATTTGGAGAAACCTGCAAATGAAAGCAAATTAGAGAACTGGCGAAATAATTTTGTGCCATATAAATCTACTAGATTATCAAATAAGAACAAGACCAATCGATTAATGGTTATCAGTGACATAAGACAGAATGGGAGGCTTAGGATTTCTATATTAAACTTCATGTGAGCTGACATAAGCAAACAGCGTACAAAAAACCTTCTAATAATGACTGAATGAAAGTTATGATAATCAATCGATAACCTTATTCGTCACACACGCTCCATTATATCGCTCGATGTCTTATCAAACATGTTTTTCATCATCATTGTTAACTTTCAGTGTTTTCTCAATATACGTAAAAATAGGTTAAAAGAGTTCTTAAAAGGAAGTTTGGAACAGTGAATTGAAAAAACTCATTTCCATAGAGATGATTATCTGATCGATAGAAATAATAATTGATAAAAAGGTTGAAACCCATCCTATGGAAATGATGTACTACAAGAACAATACAGTGTAGTCTTGTGTCTGATGTTTCATCGATAATAAATATCTTGTTTCGTTTAAGAGACCAAGAAGATTTATGGTTTTCTGAGCTACAAACTGTTGATTCTAAGTTCAGAAAAGTTTGTTTCAATGACCAAAAGAGAATCGGTGGAACTCTACCATATCCATACCTCCATTGCTCCGACTTGAGTCCTTATCCTGGAAGTTCAATTCGTTTTTTCGGTAAAATTTGTAGAAACGGTTGTAGATGTGGTATTTACAATCGAGGAGAAATTTAGTTTTCTTCAGTGTTTAACGTATCTTTCTCACCTTCTGAACTTAGACTCTTGAACTGCGCTCTACACCAAATGGCGCGATTTATTATATTTGAACGAAGAAGCTCGTTTCGGAAGATTTCAGAATGTCTAAGAGAAAAACCAAAGCCGCATCACTTTTGGATTTATGGCAGAAGCAAGTGGTTAAAGTAAAGACTTCTTCAGGTTTGATAAGCGTGGTCATGTTTTCAATCCTCTCTCATCTTAAGAGATTATCACATTGGGTGACGATAGTCTAAAAGATTGTACTGAAGCTTCTAGCTGTTCGAGTACACCCAAACAAACTGAAAATAAATGTAAGAGGCTCTTTCGTGCATTTAGTTAGCATATATGTTATAGGTCAAACATTCTCCAGAACGCCGACCAGCTTTTATTCCTCCCACCGAAGTACCCCCGGTTCTAACAAGGTTTTGAAATTAAAGTGAGTTATTTAAGTGATACTGTTAAAAAATGTACTTCAGGAAACATGATCTTGCTGGTCTCGTTCTTGATGAAACTAATGCAAGTACTATAGTCTTCCCTATTAAAGAGCACATCCGTTGTTATGAGGTTTTTCTGCAAATTTTGGTTTCAACATCCTATTCCAGTTTAATCTTGTGAAATCTTGTATAGCTTTGAATACGTGTATATGCCTTCCATTCAACGTTTCGACGAATTTTATAATATCCACAGTATTCATCAATTTTTCGAGGTAGTAGAAATTATCGTTATTCGCGAATAGTCGTTCAGAGTTTAGATGGTTTCCGGATTCTAAGTTAGTGTATTGTTATACAACTGTAGAAGAAGGACAAGACTTTGTTGAAATATGTAAAGCCAATAATATCTCTAATGCTGATGTGAGATTGAAATCTAAAAGATTCCGAATCGAAATAGTTTTAGATTACTCTGATACCTGTCTATCAGAATTTCAAGAAGCTAATTGCTAAAAATGCTAGAATTATTGTAACTTCCGTACAGGTATTTCCTATATTACGTTTTGATTTTGACTTATGTGGTTTCAGTGTATGATAAAAGTGGTTGAGAACGAGCCCGAATTCTGTAATAAAATTCAGTGTTTGGCCCTACAGATGGACGCAGGAGAATCCGTAATGAAACAAAAAAAAATAGTCGGTCCATTGGTGACTTCTGGAGTAATTAGCTTTCTGATCATACAAGTGTGTGTGTGTGTAGATTACTTTCAGAATAATAGTTTCTCTACCGTCTTCCCCTGATGGATCAAGGCGCACATCGTCGATTTCGAGGAGACAGCAGTTAATAACATCCCTTCTTGTATCACAGTGGGAGGAACTCTCGGGATTGGATAGGCTTTTTAGGTTTTTTTTCATGAAATGGGGATTTCAAGTGTTAATTGTAGATGTGATGCTGTTCCTTTGGGTTTAAGTTCTGTTGTATGGAATGGATCCGATTTATCTTCCGAAGTCAAGTATATCATGGAAAATCTGTGCGAGGTAGTTGCTTTCCGATAATCCTCATAAATGTGAAAGTTTAGATTCTGAAACCACTTCTGCAGAATCTGCAAGATCATTTTCATGTTTCAACTGAGGAGATATCGGAGATTTTCAATTTCAGATTTGACTTATTTGTAAGTTGTAGTTCTTTACCTCATTTTGGATTGAACTTGTGTTCAAACATTTATCCAGGGTGATTCGATTCCAAGCAGTATGCGGAAAGACTTTGATCTTGGAATGTTTTTCTTTGAAGTCTACCGATATATATATTTATTTGGGCCAAGAGCTTTGTGGCTTTTTATGACAGGTGAAGAAGAAAACTTTGCTTACTGTATAATTTTCTCAGATTTTCTTAACAATGAACTAAACTGCGAAAAAGCTGAACAAATTCAGCTATTTATCTTATCCACCAAGAAAATATCTCGTATTTTCGATCAAATTCAGAATGATTACTCTAATTTCATAGGTATTTTTGATCATGTTACAACAGAACCACTATTCGTAGATGCACCTACCAACGGGCAAAAAGTTCTAAAGAGCCATATCAAGTTTCTTTTAATCCGTGACCAACTTATTTCTTGGATAAATTCTGGTATTTGTTGATGATCTTTTTACATTGCATTCAAGAAATTCTAGGGATTCCCACAAATGGTGTGATTCTTTGTCACGACATGGCGACTGCGAGGTGTATCACCGAATCACTTATAGGTCTAGAGAATGCTACAGTGCGTCTGGTATCAGATGAAGCTTATGGTCTTAGTATGTATACCAAATTTATGCCGTAGTGGTTAGGATAATTCCAGATATTCCAAACATAAGCGTACTACCAATAACTCGGATATCGGGAATATTCCATGAGGTACAAGAATGAAACTTTTGCTAGAATTGCTTGATTTGCTTTAAGAGTAAAAACGTTATAATTGTTTTGCCACTAAGTTTATCTGGGAGCTTATCAGCTCTAGACACTTTCACATCAAATGGACTGAGATTCGTCATTGCTACAGAAAGGAGGTAATAACTTCTTTCATTCACATTCTCATTTATAACGGAACTGTGCACAGATCTATTTGTTTATTGGAGCATGATGTAGCAAATAATCTCGCATTCCTTGATGAATCCTTCGAAAAATTGGTATTTTTCATTTACTCGATATAATTGATAATGGAATTTCAAAGAGATCCTCTGATGGGAGGTTAGCGCGTAAAGCTCAAGAACCTGCGGCTCGCAGAAGTTTGGTAGGCAGGGAAGGCGTCGTGAATAGGTGAGTGGAATCTTCTACCAAAGCTTCATTGCAGTTAGTCTAGATATGATTTCAAGTTCGAGGAGAGCCGGTTGGTTTTAAGCCCTGATCTTTTCACAGTCGTTCCTCTGAATAACAAAACGTGCGAAGAGGTCACAGAAACAAAAAAAATAGCGAAGCGAAAGTTAACTGAGGCCAAACCTGAGCAGTGCGTTGCAAACTGTAACTAATCAATGCTTAGATTTCCAGCAAAGCTAATGAATATTTGAGCGAAGGAGAAATGCAAGAGTATCAACAGTTTGTCGGTTATGATGCAGTTCCCAAGTATGGAGAGTTTTCAAAAAGACGTGCATTAGGAGTAGTAAGTTTCATTCATAATTTCTTCGCTAACCTAAACCACCAAGGTGTATCCCGTAGGCTCTTATTCAAACATTACTTTTCAAGCTTGGTCTTTTTTTAATCGACAGGATAAGTTTCCAATGAAGACTCTTGTGGGAGAAACTCTAATTCGAATTCTAAGAGATGAAGAAAGCAATGTTATGAAGAAACGCCGTAACTTCAATTACGACACATCTTCAATTGATAAAGAAAAAATACAAATGTACAAAACTTTAATAGATGAGCTGAACGTTTACTGGAATAAAGTTTAGATTTTTTTTTGAATTTCTCCAAATCTATGGGTTAAAACGCTTTTTTACTTTTTGTTATTGCTACTGAATCTGCTACGGAATTGTTCATGCTCATCGCTGAAGGTACTGCTGTGGGGATAGCTGAAGACATTGCTGAAGACATAGCTGAACCCATAGCTGAACCCATTATAGTACTTTCTGAATCAATTGGTTGCAGTTACTATCTTTTTAAACATGAATATACCGGCGATCGTACTGCCACCAAACTCTCCGGTAGCATCCATGGAAGCGTCACATCCATATCTTTTATACATTCCTCGGTACCTGTAGACCATTGCTATTCACAACAGATGTTTTAGTTATGTAGCCTACCAATTGGGGTACATGGTTCTTCTACAGAGAAAGAAAGCTATTGCTAGAGCAGTACATCCCGCTATTGATCCGGTGAAAAAACCATAAAAAAGTGCCCAAGTTCTCCAGCCAGAATATCTCTGTACTATAGCGGCATCATCGTCGACCAAAATATCTAAATCAAGTATATGAGCAGATGTACACATATATCTGAATTGCCATTTCTTTCTAGGAATGACTTTGTAGTTGTTTGAGGAACCGTATGCAACAGTGGGTCCATAGTAGTCTGAAAAGAATGATAATGAACTGCTCAGGAGATGACAGTACGGTTGGGATTTCTATAACTTTGGCTTTAGTCAAGACCGATCCAGCTATGATTACTGGTCCCTCTTTTATTTTGCTAGCATCTTCACCAGGTTGAATGGATACATAACCATTAGATATGGTCTGTAACGATTGGAAATGATTTGATGAAATGATATACTCAACCGTTTCAATTCCTATTTCCTCTTTCAAACAAGTAGAATCAGAGAATAAAAATGCCAGCTTTTTGCCATTTCTGTTCTCAACGTTAAGATTGATAGCCCTTTGCCTCAAAGAGTTGGTAACGGCTAACTTGAAAAAAATTTGTTAACTGTTAGACATAACAAATCTCACTAATCCTGACTGTAACTTTGTTATTTCAATGGAAGAGAAGTCTGTTTCGTCGATACCAGTCTGCATTTTTAATGGTATAGCGATATCTGAACGGGTTTAGAGAAAAAATCTATAAAATAATAATGTGGAGAACTTACGTGAACTAGAGAACAGAACGAGATCATTTTTCAAGAAAAGATGAGTGGTATCAAATTTTTCGCAACTTGGAATACCACTTTCCTTTATATAAGTACAGAGAGCCACCCTTAACTAAGATATACTTTTCTGTTCTGGAATTACTCTACCAATCACAAGATTTTTTCAGATGCAGTGTGAAAGTGAATACGGAATTCGCTGTAATGTTAAAAAGGATCATTCTACCATAGTCACACCTGAAGAAAGCAGTAATAGTAACATTTTTGCCAATCGGTCAGTTGCTCACCATGAGTTGCAAGCTTTGTGATTTTTCCAGCTTAGAGAGTTACCCTGTTTGAGCTCAGAAGTTCCAAAACTTGGTTCTTCTCCGTCATTGATAAGGACTCGAGGATTCTAAATATGCCAGAACAAAACAATGGAAGAAAATGCTGAAAACTACTTCGTCTAGCGATTCGATTATATTGGTTTTTATATAAAGATCATCCCCATCAGATTTTACCGTTATTCCAGATGCGCCGAGATTTTTCATACTGTCGAACACATCGGGACTATTGAACCTAGAAGAAGAATAAAACAGGGCACTTGGTGCGACCTTAACCTATGGGTCCTCGATATGATTCCACCACTACTTTCTCGATACCTATAGACGCAATAAGGATCTAAAGCGTAAATTGTGGCATTTTGAGGTAATTTCTGGAAGTGCAAAACTGGAGTTTTCGAATTAAAGTCATACGCTAACTTCAACATCCAAAGCGTCCGTTACTCTTTTAGAGAAATCGTAGATGAGCGCATCACTGTTTTCACATATTCTGTTAGATGAGCTTTTACAGTACACCACACTAAATTCGTTAGTTTTTCTAAAATTTGTTTCAGACCTTAAACCTCGAACAAGTTTGTGCTGCCGAGAAACCAAATTTTTCTTCATACGTAGTAGGACTAAAGTATGACTCCGATTCACTGTTCAACACAGTGATGAAACTTGGATCAAGGGTGCAGCTACAGTAACCTTACACTAATAACCAAAACTTTATGAACTAACTCCACGTTGTTGGTAACTACTTCCGTGAAATTATGGAAATGTGTTTTAACCTTGATATTTCTACCACAATCGTAGTTTTTGAATGGAATTGATGCAGATGACTTATCAAATAAAGGCACCTTGAAAGAATCATACACGAATTACATGTCGTTTTACCTCGACGCAGTTTGAAACGGCAATTCTCCATAGTAGTAGCTAATTAAGGATTATTAAAGTTGCTTTAATCAATCGAAACCCACTAGCTGCAATGTTTTGAGTTGCATGTTTAATGAAGCCACTGTTTATCCAATTATTCTCAAATTCGAATCAGTTTTTAGCTTCAAAACAACCGTGCACGCCCACGTGCGCCAGTGAATGATTTCCCACGCATTAGAATTCACGTGGAATTTATGTATATTAAGTTCATCTACGCCTCTCCTCCCATAATTACGACATCGTTAAATATGGTATAGTACAATTAATTCCTTACATATTCTTGATATAAAGTTATATGTCCAAATAAAGCTTTTTGCTGACTCCGCCTTCTTTTTTCCGGGTAGGACCATTTTCTTCAGGCGGGAATATTAAAAAATTAGCATAATTATATGAAGTTTTACAAGCGTCTCCCTTCTTACGTTTTCAAATCATTTTCTGTTTCGATTTCAATATTCAAATTAAATTCAGGTTGAATCATGACGGAGGTGAGAAGCACTTTCGGGAGTGTTTTCAATACAAAGGTTGTCGTTACTCCGCTTGATGAATTCCCCCTACCAACGAAGGGAGACTCCATTGGTAGGATGTTGTACAAGGTTTGTTGTTACTTTGTTCTTCGTTCATTAAATTTGTTTTTCTAGAAGAAAAGAAACATGGGAAACCTGTCAGAGGACGAAAAAAATTATTATTTGAGTACTTTCAATTCAGACAAAGGAGGGTTAGTTATTTGAAAGTGTTTCACTTATATGATTTTCCTCTCAGATTCTTTAATTTGAAAGATTTCCAAATTGGAAGGCCTTTGGGAAAAGGAAAATTTGGTAGTGTATATGTCGCAAGATCGCCTCTTTTTGGTAATCACTTAGTTGCTGTTAAAGTATTGAACATATGAATGCCGTTTCCTGAAAATCGAGTTTCAGGTTCTCTTCAAAAGTCAGTTGGTTAGTTCAAAAGTTGAACACCAGCTTTGCCGTGAAATCGACATTCAGACACATTTAAGGTAAGATAAGCAAAATTTCTCAAACTGATTCATCTCAGGCATCCTAACGTTCTACGACTTCATACTTATTTTTGGGATTCTAAGAAAGTTTATCTTGTGTTAGAGTATGCTGTAAACGGCGAAATGTATAAATCGCTTCAGAACAAAGGGAGATTTGACGAGGAGTCCTCGGCAGCGGTTAGTCGGATAGTTTTTTTTCTCTATATTATGCTCATCTTCAGTACATGTACCAAATAGCTGATGCTTTAGCATACTGTCATGAGAAGAACGTGATTCATCGAGATATCAAACCAGAGAATCTTCTATTAGGAGCTCTTGGTGAATTGAAAATAGCTGATTTCGGTTGGAGTGTGCATGCAGGCAGTAATAAGTGAGATTTGAAAAATGTTCGACTAGTATAACGGTGTTAAAGACGGCAAACTATGTGTGGAACAATGGATTACTTACCTCCAGAAATGGTTGTTGGCGAGGAGCATAATGCTATGGTGTTTATTTTCTTATCGCGTTTTCAAACCTTGATCCATAGGTTGATATCTGGTCCATTGGAGTGCTCTGTTATGAGTTTTTAGTGGGACGACCACCTTTCGAGAACGATGACACTAATCAAACTTATGCAAATATAAGAAATGTAGCTCCTATTTTTTATGGCTCAGTCAATTCAGTGTTTAGGTCCGTTACACGTTTCCTTCTTATGTCAGTGTAGGAGCTCGTGATTTAATCAGCAAACTATTGCAAAGAAGACCAGAAGATAGAATCAGTTTAGAGCAGGTATTGTTTCAAAACAAAACCATAACATCATTCGTTCTCAGGTTATGCAACATCCATGGGTAGTTAAGCATGTGGAAGCAAAAAAAAGCAGAATGATTAAAGAACAAGAAAGCCAACTTTTCCAGTAGTTCAACCTGAATCAATGGATGATTAACTAGAACTAATACCTCCTCATAATGAAGAAAAAACGTTTATGAGCGAAAAAGACGTTTGTGTAAATAAAATGTACTCATCATTATCACTCATTCTCAAGCTTGTCGTATTCGTTTTATTATGCAAATCACTTCCAAAGTGCACCCTGTATTTTTCATTTATTACTGTTTCCACGACATCATCGGTCGTTCTGATTAAATGACGTCTGTTACCGAAGATTTGGTAATAATTGTATTTTTGTATTTATCCAATATATTATTTCTAGAACAAAAGTTTTTATTTACATGAAAACAGTGAAGATTCTGTAAGTCAGATCGAACATTATTTGAATTCCGATGTTTCAGGAACCTAAGTATTCGCAATATTTTCTAGATAAAGATGATTGTGAAAATGAATTGAATCTCAGTATTCAAAGTAATTTAACTGAGGTTTATGCTCTTCGTCATTCCTTATTTCTGTTTTTCTTCTATTTTAGAGATCTGATTACAATCATAGTCATATTGATAACGATATTTTCACTATGCCGCATGTAACAAGTTCTTCCAACAGCCCTATAGTGCCCCAAGATAAGGTAAGCGAAGAAGTGAAAAGCGTTCAAAATTCGTGTTCATAGACTATAAACAAGTATATGTTTTCTTCTGATTCTCAATACGATTTGCAACATGTAGGAGTAAACTTCGAACTCAACGTTAGTCAACGCTATTATTTCGGATACAATATTGGTTTCAGAACAAGGGAAAATATGAGCAGTAGAATTGATTCATTCCATGTGACTGGAGCGAGTTCACGATTATCTTCTAATAAAACTATGACGCGAATGGGGTTAGATCGTGTGGGTTTGAATGAATGTATTTCTACAATAAGTAGAATGTAGTTGAGAAAATAATCGAGAGAGGGCTTCGCGAAGAATCATCTTTAAATTATGTCGCTTGACGAACGATGCTTCCAGCAGATTGAAAAGATTCTTTTATCATTTGCAATTCACGTAAACACCAATGGCATGCGATAGCTAAAATTATCTTGATTCACTGTTCATTTTCATTTCCATACAGGACAGTTATTTTGATGTGTTTTGCTCTCGTCGTATATCAGCTACTCCCTTCTATGTTTCAGATAGATCATAAAATCATTCAAAAGTTTAGAAAAACAGTTTTGTAAGAGGCTCATATGAACGAGTGTTTGACTTAAGCATTTGCTTTAAATGATAACTAATTTTTCTCGACAATGTTAGATCCAAGATCTCAAAAGTAATGATTTCCAGTGATTGTAGATTGAAGACAAACTATGCTGTTGGATCTAGGTCCATTATTCACAATCTGAAACAGCTGTCAGTTGGAGCAGCTTCACACGAGACCACAAGCTCCATTCTTGTTAATATTTCATCGTTGGCTCTGTAGTTAGTAAGCGCATCTCATGATATCATCTAAAATCAATCATTAGCACAACGTGTGAAGCATGAAGAGTTCTTTTCCACTTTTTGCTAACATTTTTCGAGCATAAGACACTCGAAAAACTAATGATATCTGTTGCTCGACATGAGGTTGTAGTTTCTACATAGTACCTTATGAGTTTTAATCTCGGCCTATTTGTGTTGTATTTATAATCACAGTGATCATCAGATTGGTCGACGTACTAGCTCTCAAACAACATCACTTAGATTGTCCACTTTTTCAAACTCTTCTGTGCTCTTCAATCAAACCAAATTAATAAGAAGAGCCTCTTTTTTGTCGAATTATCTCCCCATGGTACCTTCATTCCATAATTTTACAGAAAAATGGAACTTAGTACTTTCATTTTCATACTCTCTGTTTTACATCTCCGTAAAGTAGAAGCTTTGCCAATTCAAGAAATGCAACAGATCAACTCTAATCTACTTTCTAATGATGATAATTCGGATCCTGAAAATACCCTTAGCAACGTAACGTCATCGCCTGCTAATGGAGCGGTGCCCACCGACAGCGCAGAAGTTCACAAAATTTTTGCTGAAATAGTAGAAGGTGGGTTTATTTATGAATTGTTTTGAGTTCTTGTATACATTTGACTTTTCTTCAGCCATGGTACCTAATATATCTGCTTCGTCTGTGCCAGAAAAAGTAAGAGTTTGCTGAAAATATTGAATCATTCATCTGGAAATTATAGGAATTTCATGTAGAAGAAACTAAAACAGTTTTCAAAACAGAACTCATGAATGAAACAGAGGATGGAGAGGTTCAGATATTCTTAGTTTATCAACTCATATTGATCTTCCGCAGTACATTGAAGAAGAGAATGATACTTTTGAAAATCCCGAAGATTCAAAGCTAAAAATTCATACTACTACAACGACTGCCGCTCCCTCTAATACTTTCCTCGTGAGTTCTCTTTATATTGAAGATGCGTTCAGTATTTTTAGACTGATGAACAAAACAATGATAAGGATGTGGAAAAGGCTGAAAAAAATTTATCAGAATCAGCTGATGTAGAAGGTACGACGGTATACAAACAAATTATAAATTTGTAATTAGCAGATGATATGCAACAATTTTATGACAGCCTTTCCTATGATGACAAACAACGTTTAGAATGTATCATTAACTTATTCATAACTTTGTTCAGTTTCCAATTCAAATTCCCTGAAGAGGTTAAAGAAACTGAACCTGATAACTTCATCATTGGTATACAGGTAAATTTGATTACTGATACTAAACTATGCACAAAAATGCATTATACATATAAACCTGCGCCAAAATCATGTTCCTAATCCCTCTGTTTCATACACTCACTTTTTAGTGTCTATTCTTCGACTGTCGGAAAGCGTTACCAGTAATTCCTACTAAACCAAGTTTAATAGATAAAGAACCAAGTTGGCCGATCCGAAGAGCTCGTGCTGGGGGACATTCTTGCTGGGTTTGTGCACAATTATGATACCATTCTTATAACTATATTACAGTGACCAAAAGGATTTGTTTGTAATGGTGTAATTTATTGGAATGACATTATATAAACAGAAATAAAGGAATTATAATCAGCTAACAGAGAACTATCATACTTTAACTTCATTAGCTCGTTTTAATCTAGTTGTTGAAACTCAGTTGTCTTTATATTTTCGCTGACACGTCACGTAGGCCACATGCGTTCTGTGGGGCAATCAATAATGAAACGTAAAATCTTCCTATTCTTTTCTTCATGCTTTTCTCCCTCCAATTACGAAAATATTATTCAAGCTTCTCCTTCATTGAAGTGACGATGTGAGAGATGTGTGGACTCCGTTTACAATCAACTAAGTGCATGAATTCATATTATTTATTGACGTTTAGCCCACAGACATTTTTTTTCCAATTTCAACTGAAATCAATATGAAACAAACTCGAACTCAAAAAAGTACATCTTGTATTAATTATAACATGTCTTATCACTATTATGAAGAAAGGAACATCATACTTTATAACTTTGTTTCATTTTAGTAATAATGAGCGAAGAATACGAAAGCGTAGCTCTGGTCAAGCCTGAAGTATTTATTTACAAAATCCCTCCTCTTGCCAATAATAAAGGACATAAGTAAGAAAAAAACTTCAATCGTTTGTATTACCTGCTTAAAGGGCTGTTGAGTGGTCATTAGATAACCCTGATTGGTCAGGAAGACTCAAGCTTGTTGGTTTGGGCAAGCGACTTGAACTTCGATTGGAAGATAAAACTACTGGTAATTGCTTTTTCATAATGTTTTAACATTTTATTCATTAGGTGCACATTTCGCAACATGTCCAATTGATGCCCATCCAGGACTCGCGGTGGAGCCTGTATCAGATTCATCTCGTTATTTCGTAATCCGATTACTTCAAAAAGAAACTGGTAAAACTGTTTTCATTGGACTCGGTTTCGCCGATCGTGGAGACGCTTTCGACTTCAATGTAGCTCTGCAGGTAAACAACAAAGCTTGCTCCTGACTTCATTAGACATTTTTGTAGGATCATTTCAAATATGTTGAAAAATCAGCTGAGTTTGAGCAAAACGAAAAAAACACTCAACCTGCTCTTGATTTGGCATTCAAAGAAGGACAAACAATTTCTATCAATTTAGTATGTTCTTCTAATACTACTGTTCCAAAAACCCTGTTCGATTCAGAAAAAGAATAATGATGGACTACCTGCTGCACCGCGGCCCAGACCACCGCCAACTTCTGGAGGTATTGTACCACTTCTTCCACCTCCACCCGGATCTTCTGTACGGTTATGTAAATGAAGAATTAATAGCATCGTTTTTTTTTAGAATAGAGTTCGGTCTAATGCTCCAGTTTCAACGAATCTCCCAGTCAGTAACTCTGATTTGTTGTAAGTAAAATGAATAGTTTAAGTCTATCAATTTTTTTCAGAAATCTCTGAACAGTTGGTAGAAGTGATTAGCATCCATTCACTTATAAGAATCAAATTTCGAAAATAATTTATTACTTTCTTATCAATTTGTATATTTAATTTATTTACATCAATGCTGTAGATTACAAGTGCTCCGTAGAAATTAATGAGGCTTCCATCAAATTGTTTTAAATTGGTTTGATATTTAGTCGTTTCAAGCGATTCATATCTGCTTTTTGACTTGTGACATTGATAATTTTTGTTAAGATGTTGAAAAGTCTGCAGTTCCCCGAACCGGCTCCAAATCCTAATGTAGTTGCAGTACGTCGTCTTCAGAAAGACTTTCAAATTTTGTTGAATGTAACTTTCCATGTTTTCGTTATAAATCAGATTTTACCTTTAAAGGATCCATTACCTGGCATAGTCGCCATTCCGAGTGAGAAAAACATTTTGGAATGGCACTACGTTATCGAAGGAAGTACTGAAACTGATTATGAAGGTTTAATTAATTTTTCTTCAACTGAAGGATATCATTTAAGGCGGATTTTATCATGGTAAGATAGTTTTCAAACCGGATTTTCCATGGAAAGCACCTGCAATCTGCATGGTTACTCCAAATGGAAGGTAAAACTATATTATGATTTATACTGTTGGGCTCTTCAAGATTTGCTCCAAACATTCGCTTATGTCTTTCCATATCAGATTTTCATCCGGAAACATGGTGTCCTGGCTTGACGGTATCCTCTATATTAGTAAGAATGTGTTCTCAATATTGGTAGTGCTCAAATGCCTGCTTAGGTTGGTCTTCATAGTTTTATGAACGAGGATACTTATTCGACAGGATGTGTTTTCACTTCCCCGAAAGCTAGAAGACAGTTTGCTCGAGAAAGTATAATTTTCAATCTCAATGTTTGTTTTAATCATTTATCTTCTCGTACCTTCTATCTGCAGAACGAAGAGTTCCTGTTGAATTTCCCCGAGTTGGCTGAACGTTTGAAAGCTAATTCATCACCTATGAACTATGAACATATCGATGTTTGTGATGAACAGGACGAAAAGATTGCCGAAGAAATGGAGAAAAAGGCTCACGCTGAAGCTCTGAAAGCTCATTACGAATCTCAAAAAGTTACCGAGTTACGCATGATGCTTGCACAGCGAGCATACCGGTCAAGAAATTTCAGAGCTACTATGAGCGAGCGTAAAGAAAACATTCGTTCGGCTTCCGCACGCCTAGGAGACTCTGAACCCTCATCATCTAAGCAGGCAAACGAAACTCAGGATGCTTCTATGTCAAAACCGGAGTTTGAAGTTCCATCAACAACCTTTTCCCAAAGCTAAAATTGTTTTCAATGCCTTTATACTTGTTACAGCCTTTGTTAGTTTTGTTAGAGATTTTTATATTTAATATACTCTAGTGTGCTTTATTTTTAGTCTATGATCTAACAATTAGCAGATCTGGTCCCCAATTATGCCAAGTTGTTTTTCTTCTGCTACTCATTAGTCTGATGTTTTACATTTCCAATTTTGTTTTATTTTCCAGATTTCCAGGGATTGTAACTAAGTTTTAGTTTTATTAACCTCATTATCGGAGTAATAATCTTTTATCTTTTACTAATTTTTTGTTGTTTTATCATTCTTCAAGTTCTGATATCGCATTTGTAGATATGATCATCATGTATTTGTATTAATTATGTATAAAAGTTTTTTTTGAGTTCTTTTGAACTCTTCCGGAGTTTGCTTCTCCCGTTTATTTCTTTCCATGCTTATTTAACTTCAGCATTTTTTTCTTCAGAATAATAACATGGTAGGAGCTTCAGTATCTGCAACTGCCAGGCTAAAGAAAGATTATCAGAGGTTGCTTAAAGAGCCTGTACCTTATCTGCAAGCTGCTCCTTGCCCTGACAATATATTAGAATGGCACTATGTTATTTTCGGGGCGCCTGGTACTCCATATGAAGGTATTTTTCGATTTCGAGGTGTAAAACGGGGAAATTGTTTCTTCAGGTGGAACCTATCACGGCAAATTAGTATTCCCTCCTGATTTTCCGTTCAAACCACCATCTATATATATGATTACTCCGAATGGAAGATTTCAAGTTTGTAGATCTATGATTCAGTCATTGCAAGTTACTTTCTATTCAGACCAACACAAGGCTTTGTCTTTCAATTTCGGACTTTCATCCTGATACATGGAACCCAGCGTGGACGGTAATTAACCAGCATTTGAGTTCATTAGCTATTACATCAATTTAAGGTTTCAACGATTATAACTGGATTAATGTCCTTCATGAATGACAATACTCCTACCTTAGGTAGTATCACTTCTTCTGATGGAGAAAAAAAGCTTTATGCCATGAGGAGCAAGGCGTTTAATTTAAGGGTATGTGCCCGATGTGACTATCAGATACAATTCATTCTTAGGACAAAGTGTTCTGTGATATATTTCCGGAAGTAGCCGATGATATAAGAAATGAGCTAACTGTGGACGGAGGAACGGTTCATCCTCTAAAAGAAGATACCCCGCCTAAGAGGTTTCGTTTAAAATCGCTGACTTATCTTATAGTACTGTATTTTAAAAAAAATGATCTCTTAGCCACGTTAACTACGTGAAGCTCTTTTGAAAATTTCATGCTTATTCAAGTTTTGTTTGTCCGCAGTCTCAGTCTGTTTTCAGGTCGGAACAATCATCTATAATTTCTTCGTTGATGTCAAATTTATTTGTTGTAGCTGGAGTGGTGGTTTTGGCTTTCGCTGTTCGATATGTCATACATTCGGCTCAGGAGCAGGACCCCAGTTTTAAGTGATATAATGAAAATACAAAAGAATAAAGTATATATAGCAATAAATTAAAGAATGTAGGCAAGTTCTCCCTGTCATCCGGAAAGATGCCCTATGAAGATTCATATCATTATTAAGTAAAGAGGTATTAAGTAGATTTCAGTAGCAGTCATCTGTAGCTCATAGTTCAATCACCTTTAACCGGTTAATATTAGTAATCATTCCAAATATTCAAGAGCTGACCGTGAAGACCAAAACATACCGTTTGTTGCAGTCGGTGTTTTGGGTAAATCTCTTGATACATCTAATGTCTACAGTATTCCTGTACTTCATCTGATGGACCACCCTTCTGCTTTGGTCCACAACATGTATTCTCATTAATCTAACTTCTAAACATTACTTTCAGTTCTCCTCTATCCCCACTGTTATTGTACTTTACTTATGCGAACTGTCATTTTTCTGGATAAACCTCTTGAATTATAAACTCGCTTTGCCTCCTTCGAACACCTTTCCTTACGATTGCTTCCAAACGCTCTATTTTCGGTCTTATATTATAAAACTCATTGAAAGTCAACCATTCTATTATACAGTATAATCAATCATTTTGACAAGTTGCGTATGTAAGTCAGATATGTTCAATGTAGAATGAAAAGAAGAAACGTTTGACCTTTTGTTTGAATATACTGAATTCTGCATGTAATTTGTCTCAAATCAGGCAAGGTCTCACCCTCTCAATTTTTCATAGAATTCAACAGTGTATTGTAGAGTTTAGCATCTCAAACTGTTACTGTTGCCGATCATTCAACTAATCAGTCAAGGGAGGACATGAAAATACATATAACTTAATATATACAAATAGTGCAGATTCCTTGTAGTTATAGTGACTGGTCGTATTCATGAGAAAGAATAAACACTGGTCCATGCACGTTTTTTACAGCTTTTAATTCCGCGTATAAGATGAAGTTACAAGTAGGAACTGCGTATATGTCGATGATAATTACGCGTGTTTGTCAATTCGTGTTTGTGTGTGTTAGCTCGTGATTATTTTACAATTTCTCTCTCTTAGATTCTTCTCTATAACCTTTCGTGATGGAATTAAACAATTCGTAAGAACACGTTGCCTATTTCAGTTTTCCGATAAATGTAGATGGTGTCTCTTTTAAAAGCTTATTTATTGTGTGCGATTGCGTTTTGTTCAATATGCACCTTAATTATTAGCTATAGTTGTTCTTGTGATATCGAAGCTCCTAGACAGGCCGGTTTACGTAAAGGTTCGGATCTGCTTACTATATCTTTACTCTGTTTATTGGAGAATATGAATCGCAAATTTCTGTTCCGTTGCCCGAGACGTTCCTGCTCATTAGTATCATGTCAGGACCGAATGAAACGGAAGCTCGAACTGCCATAAGAGAAACCTGGCTTAAGCTTTCATCTAAGGGTCCCTCGGTCTTCAAACACTTCTTTCCGATTGGAGTGGACAAACTAAGGTGATTCGACTTGTCAACTTTTTGTCACGATTATTTTTAGTTCCGATGAGATAAGTTTGTTGGAACAAGAGAATGCTCAGTTCAATGATATGATTCTATTATCTAATTTGGAGGAAACTTATCAGTCACTCTCGAAAAAAACAAGAGCCACAATGGAATATGCTTATCAGAACCATAAGTTCAGTTATTTACTAAAGGTTCTTTGGATATACTAAATAGCTTTTCATCACAAAGTTTCCAGATTGATTCTGATTCTTTTGTTAGAATAGGAGCATTCGTTAAGGCTTTGAAAGACGTCCAGCATCCCCGCTTGTATTGGGGGTATCTAAAACTTTCATATAATTAAATAAATACGAGTTCTTAGATTTTTGGACGGAAGGGCTAAGCCTATAAGAAAAGGTAAGTGGAAAGAGTCAAACTGGATGTTGTGTGATCGATATCTTCCTTATCAAGTAGGTTCCCGCTTATTTTTTTAATAATTTAACTATCCTTGTTTAGTTAGGCGGAGGTTATGTTCTCTCCTATGAATTAGTTCGATACGTTGCTATCAATTCTAAGTTGTTAAAATTGTATAAGAACGAGGATGTGTCAGTAGGTGCTTGGTTAGCAGGTAGAACCTCGAAGCAATTCAGCATTAAAGTTTGAATTTTCAAGGCTTGGATGTAAAATACGTTCATGATCCTAGATTTGATACGGAATGGTTCTCTAGAGGCTGTAATAATGAATATCTTATTACACACAAAAAGAAACCGTCAGACATGAGACAATTGTTCCAGAACTTATATAATAAGTGCTTGGAAATGAACTGAGCAAGTGATATATTTTGGGATTTTTCAGGAAATTGCTATGTGAGAAAGAGTTCCGGACGAGATGGTCATATGTATATGATTGGGCAGCACTTCCTAGCGAATGTTGTAAAAGACTTAATGGCACAATGGTTCCATGAAAACGTTTTCTTCGATTAGATTGCGTACTCTTCAATTTAATTTATTTCTCACATTTTACTATTCAGCATATGTTTGTTTCAATACGGGTCTGTGACTTGCCATAAATATTTGTCTTTTGTTCTTTCACTTCGTTCGATTTGTTTGTCACAATTCCATTTATCTTTGATCGAAGAAATCAGAAATTCCCTAGCTCTGACTATTTTCAGTCTTTCAGTCATGCTGCCTTGATTTTTCTTTACAAAAGCCTATTGAAATGTCTGAAGCAACTTTTTTGCCCAACCATTTTGTGATGGAGGGGTCACATCAAGGAGAGGTTAGTTAGCTTTTGATATATTCGAAAAATACAATTGAGTTTTCAGTTATTTATGATCATGACTATCGTTTGTTTGTCTTTGCTATTAAGAAATATTACAATACCATGGATATTTTTGGGGAAAAAGTTTTATGCCACGAACTCTAGTTATTGGTTTGTTCTTAACTTTCATATCTCTTATAATTATATACGTTGAAGGTTCAAGTTTTCATTAGATTTTGGTTTTTTGGTTCTTCCTAGTCTGTTGTCTGTGACTCTGTTTTCATCATCTTTGGTGTTTATAATTATTTGCTTAATAGTTTGTCTTGTTACTATGCTGGTAAGAGAAATTATATTGTGCTCTCTCTCAGTTCGTTTTAAGGTTTTCGTTTTCTGTGAGTATTTGATGTCACTTGATAGAGTGCCATGGAGAACAGTAATGAATAAAATAGTGGATGAACATTATGGCCCTACTACGTTCATCACCTATTTCAGGTAACTTTCAGATCCCATCTCATAACTATTTTTTTGTTATAGAGGAATGATGCTCATTCTTGTTAGTATAGCCATTTTGGCTGTTGATTTCCCTCTTTTTCCTGAAAGATTTCATAAAACAGGTTCATTAGTTTCTTGTCATCTTTCCATAATACGTTTTCAGAGCACTATGGACATTCCTTAATGGATATAGGAGTTTCTGCTTTCGTTGTTTCCGCTTCTATGAGCTCTCGACTTAAAACATCTTCTATGATTGAAGGGAAAGAATTAAGACAGAAGTAAGTTTCTATCATAGCTTTCTTGTTAAGTGAACAGAGGATAGTCAATCTATACCTGAGTTATATTCGAAATGGAAATGAAAACTTTAAAGATTATTCATCAACTTAGCCTTTCAATTAACTTATGATATCAGATCGAAATGGTGGTGGTTGAAATCTTCCTACTTTGTGCTTCCCCTCATCGGGCTTACCCGGACAGTAGTTGTTTCTTTTCTCGGGTATCATCAGCCTGTCACTGAGTACGGAGTTCATTGGAACTTCTTTTATACCATTGCGATATTGAGGGTATGTTTCTTAACCTTCGGGAGGCTTTACATTATAGAATTCAAGATAGTGTCCAAACTTTTTCCTTCAAAGTATCCATTGGTTTTTGCCATCATATTCGGCGTGCTACATCAATTCATACTTGTTCGTGGATTAGAAGAGTTCATCCTATTCGATGAAAACAAACGAGAAGACTTCTTCTATGCCAATATCGAAGGAATTGGTTCCCTTCTGGGATATATTACCCTTCATTTTGCCAGTCGAGTTGTTGCGGACTTCATCGCTGGAACAGGGTAGGCCTACCACGTTAATTCCTTTAACTTGTGTTTGAAGAATTCGAGTGAAATCATGGCTTGAATGTTGTCTCCGACTGTTTTCAATCGCTGGCTTCTTCCTTTGTCTTCAAGCTTTCTCCGAATGGACTTTTGGTCTACCTAGTAGAAGAGTTACTAATATTACTTATATTCTGAGTCAAGTATGTTTATTAATATATCGAAATTCAAAATACATTCCATTCAGCTTTCTTTGCTTATTTTTTCCTTAGCATCATGTCTTGTAGTTCAAATGTTCAGCATGGTTACATGGGCAGCCAACGCTCCTCACTTTTCTACAGGTAATACGCAGAAAGATTCAATGTTTTCAGTCTGTCTTTCTTTTAGATGACAATCCGTTCTGTGGCATATTACCATGTTTGTGTGACTCGGTCAATAAAAATGGGCTCATATTTTTTTTGCTGGCGAATCTATTGACAGGTTTGTTTGAAAAAAAACGATGCGAATTAAACAAACTGAACCATATAGGCGCAGTGAATATAGTTCTAGATACGAAGAGTATAAATGACACAACAGCCTTCCTGATTCTGTTTTCATACATCTTACTGCTCTGTATCGTTGTGCAGTACCGAAGTTTCGTTCCGAAAAAGAACAATTAGTTGGAAAATTTCCTTATTATGTTTATTGAAGTATTAACTCTGGATCTCTATCTTGTCACTCTTTCTCTCACAATCTTAATTCTTTCTTTCCTTAATGTTTCCATATTTGTATAATTCAAATTGGTTCTGGTTATGGGTTCTTTTTTGCGCGTTCTTTCCTTACTGGCTTCATTTATAAACTCAAATTGTGATGTTGTGATATGTTCGTAATTTTTTCTTTGAAGAGTATAAATAATATACGTGTTTGATTCTTTTGTACATAAATCATGTTGACACCTACTTCTTCAAATACTTGGTATCAGTCCGAGCATTACTTCATTGCTTTCATTGAAAACCCACGAAGAAATAGGCTTTTGCTGATATGGATCAGTTGCTTGCTTAGAGTTGATTTCTATTTTTGCCCTTTCTTTTTGGTTCGAGTAGTTTCAAGTCGTTAGAAACTGTTTTTATCGCTTGAAGCTCGTGTTTTAAACGTCACCTCGTGTTGTCGAACTGATCTGCCCTCTTTCGTTATCAGAAAATTGCTGCAGTTCCTATGAAAGAGATAAATTTAAAGGAGCTTTTGATTCTACCTAGAAAACAGTTTTATTATTTTTTTTCTATCAATAAGCTTCACGATTTCCATCCTAACTAACATACGCTTTAGCATTCACTTTTTGAAAATAAACACTGGTTTGTCCCTGATCACGCGCCCAAGTTCTTATGTGTGATGCTAGCCGTCTGTCATTTTGATATGCCATCCTTTAAAACATTCGACCTTCTGCTTTATCTTTCTCATACTCCTATTGATTTTTAATTACTTTAGTTAATAAAATGACTTCGTGGAGTCCTGGTTCCGAGTGGTGGCGTCGTTGGCTTGAAGACGGGAACTCTTCTCTCTACGTAAATAGAAGTCAAGATGTTCTGTGTGCAAATTGTATTTCTCTTCCTGATACAACAGGTTCAAACTACCCAGAAAAACTATTCTAATACAAACGTTTATAGCATGCATTCGATCAGTTGCTGTTGCTTTACTAGCGATTTTGACCGCCTGGGTTGCGTTTATACGGATTATTTTATTACACTCGAATCAGCCATCTCATATTCGTTTGCTGCTGTATTACTTACTGTGTGTTCATTGCATAGCAGGGTATATCCTCAAAGTTAATAGCATTAATCATAAGTTTAAGATCTTTCGAGTGGTTGCTAGGATGGAACACTCAGTTGGCTTTATTTATTTCATATATCAAAGCTGTAGAGCTTGTTGTTATTTGTTATTATTACTTAGACATTGCCTCAAAAATGATGCATTGGAGCTCGGCTGCTGGAAGAAGGTATCAACTCCAATCTATTTTGAAGTTTGTACTGTTTTTTTCCCAGACTGAGCTTTATAGCCTTATTCCTAATGTTCACTTTTTTCACGATGTTTCTTGTCATGGGCTTACTCCTATCTATTGAACCCTGGACCGATTGCCATGGTGAGTATTTCTCAACTGCTTTATATTATTGTCTATCGTTAGCTCCTTACTGGATTTGGTTCTCAGCCGGAGAATTCGTTATTGTTCAACTAATGGTTGGATCGTTTCTGTTGATTTTAAAGCGTATGAGCCGTATTTCTGCTTCGTCGAACATTCAACGTGGTCAGCGAAATGAGTTATTGAAGTCAGAACTATTAGCTTGTTGATTATTTATGTTCCGTCTTTTAAGCCTGTTTTGGACTTTTGAAACTTCCGCCTTGGCTGATTTAGGGTATCATATCAGTTTGTTTATGTTAGCCGATGACAACAAGGGCTGCAGCGGTGTTTTTGTGCGTTTTATTGAGCTTAGAAAATGTGCAAAGGCTCTTATTTCAGAAGCATGACCAAGTCAGATATACTTTGTTGAAAGTACCTTATGACCTGTTCTCCTTCCTTATACCAATCTGGGCGATACTATATGTCTTCCGTCCTGGATTGAAACGTAGATCCGATAGCGCTGATTTATCAACGGAGGTTGTGAAGTTTTAATTTAACATTTTTAATTTATACTTTCAGATTTTCAATGACTATCCTTCAGTTGTTCCTATAGCTAATGTAGTGGTTGTGCGAAATTATAGACGACGATACAGACCACTGACTCAGGTTTAGTTGCTTTGTTTCTAATCGATAGCTTCTTCTTTCAGCCCACAGTAGATGATGTTCCTGTATTACCAGGCAATCGATCAAGCCGTAATCAGGGGGGAACGCGATTACGCACTAGCTTATCTTCACCATCAATACCAGCTGCTAGAAGAGTATCAGTTAGTTTTGAAATTTCACTATCACTGTTGAAGTATTTGGAGTTTGCTAAATATTCTTTACAGGTATCACGCAGCTTAGTGAGCAGCCCGTTATACAGTATCCCTGAAGAAATGTATCACCACTATGCTGATGAAGAGGACGCATTGGTTGGTTCCTACGATCGTTGTTCGATAGCTCCCCAAATTGGAGAGTGATCATCAAGTTTGTTAATGTTTTTTTTAAATTTAATTTTGTTCCAAGCAAAAGCTTTATGTATATTATTGTGGTTACCATCGATGTATTCGTTGTAGATAATTATTTGAGACCGAAGATACAACACGTCTTCCACGTTTTATTCACTTAATCTAAGTCTTTTTACTTATCTCATTTTTCTGTATAGTCACCTCATTTTAATGTTTTTTCTCAGAGAAACTTTCGATTCGTCCGTCACATATCGGCTTGCCTTGTTCAGTGTAACATACGGGTGCTTTTTTTTGTATTTAATACGTATGAGGCATTAAAATCTCGAAACTGCAATGAAAATTCATCAACATTCCGCCCCCCATCCCAATTCAATAGTTACAATCCTCACGTAGTCTCTCGCTTAGTACATATGTACTTGTTATAGTTTCGAGAAATACTGAACTGTTGTATAGTAAGAATAGTTGTAGAGGATGTTCTTATATTCCTGTTGTTTTGCAGACAATTTGTTTCTATTTATAATAAATTGAAATATAAGCATGATTGGCTCCGATTACAAGGGTTACATGAAAAAGTATCTCGGGAAACAAGTCCTAGTGAAGCTTAAAACATCTAGTTCTTGTTAAATTTCTGCGATACATAAGTTAATATAAAAGGGGTACTCAAATGAGTTAGAGAAAGAACAAAAACAACAGCAAGATTGTAGTTTGTATGCGGTGATTGATTCTTGAAATACTCTACAAAATACTTTTTTTCTAGAACAATCTAACCTATCAACACATGTT